ACGATAGAAAATTTATATATAAAAATGCGTCACAAAGTATTCCAATAGTAAGACTAGTAAGGAAATAAGAGAATAAGAATTGAAATCTCAGGACTATATAATAGCATTTTTTATAAGTTTTATATTTAATTCATTCTCATAAGTTAGTAATTTGTTAACTGATGCATATTATATCACGAATACGCACATATACATACGTGGTATATCCATAAAAGCGCCTAATATTCCTAGAATANTTTTAATATTCTAAATATAAAACATATTTTTGCACAAAATTATTTCAACTTTATATATATAATGAAGCAATTGGTATTGCAACACATTTTAAATAAAAAATTATATTTCTTAAATATTATTAAGAGTAGCCACTTAAACATTTATTAAAATTCTAGAAATATTACTGAATATTAAATAATATTACATGCTTATTGGGATTGCATACATCATTTTACAAATTAATTATATGTATATAAATACATATATATATATATATATATTTATATACATATAATTAATTAATATATATATATATATATATCAGGTTATGGTCGAGTAGCGGTTTGGAAACCACTCTTAAAAGCTATTAATAAGAAAAAACGATACCAGAAACCTGCTTAATTCCATTACGATAAAAGTTTTTTCATCAATTTTATGGTTCGTACCTTCACTCAAAGCGGAAAGAATCATTTTAGTAGCCCGAGTAGCATTTTTATTCAACTGGAACGCAAAAAAGATATTTCAGATGCTCCTTTTCGAACGACATCGTTATAACTACTGTTTTCTGAGATTATATCTACTGTTTTCTGAGGCTATCAACGAAGACATCAACTATTATAGTACTTCTTAAAGATTAAGGTTAACGCTTTCAAATCACCATAGGGCGGGAAAAAAATGTTAACTTGAACCAGAGTTATAAGACGTTAAATGTAAAGGCACTGAATTTATTTGCACACCTAATACATTCTCCGTACACTAAATGATGCTTAGAAGTGTCAGCATCAGAATAGCATGCACTTATACCATCTAGATTAAGATTTTTTTCTAATAAAATCCACTAAAGTCATCTGTTAGGAAAATACGATGTTATATTTCTTCCAACCTAATACTTTAAAAGGATACGTTAGCAGTAATGCCTTATAGATGACATGGAAAATTATTGAAAACAGATATTCACAATTAAAATAAAAGTTTAATAAGAAATACAGTATTTTTTGTATCGAAAGATCCACAGATCTTCTGAATTTTCTCTCTTCTACGGGTCTCATAACTTGATATGCAGTGATTACAGTCCTGAGATTCAAACGGCTCATAAGCTGCTCGGGAAGCGACGAGGCAAGGCGAACAACATAAGGCGAAACCTCCTGAAAATCGGCTAGAAAGTGCATCGCTTGCCGAGTTGATTAGAGTTCCGGATTTAACTGACGATGAGGAAATTCATGTAACATTTTGCAAAATTCGCAATAGTTAGTGAAGAATTAATATATTTAAGACCGTCTTGGGTCAGGTTCATCTTCAGATACTTTCTATTTATTTCTATAGTAGTAGTAATGAAGCCATTTCTATAGCATCTGAAGATGCTATAGAAATGGCTTCATTACTCTTAAGATGACCTTAAATATAAATCTGGCTTTTATAGGAGTCGGAAAGAAAATTTGGTAGCCGGAGTTGCTAAGAGGATTTGAATTCGAGATCATTCGCTTGCCCGGTGTACTTTTATTACTAAGCATTTAGGTTTCTACTTCGATATATTTTTTTAGTCTTCTTATCGTTCGAATTTTGAAATAAGATAAAGAAATTGTTATTATTAAAACTTTCAATAATTCAATTTAATATTATAAACTGCTTTTTCCACGAATAAGATATATTCAAATAAAGTTAATGTACTTTCAAGTTAAAGAAATTGTGATTCTTGGTTTGAAGATATCGTTCTACTCTGTCTAATAATCTTTACTCTTAAATCAAGAAAATTATTCTTGAATAACGAGAATATTATATTTTTAGTAGAACTATATGGAATATATATTTTTCGTGCAAGCAAGTTTTATCTATACAATGCTATATTATCTTATTTCAATATGTACATGTTAAGAATACTTTTCTCAAAACAAAAATATTCTTTTTCCGTGTGGGCTACTCCGTTTTCCAAATCAGCTGTTGCTGATCGTTGCTAGATCCTAATAATTAAGACATTTTTTATATGCTTGAAACCATCTTTCATTGTGCATTCCTTAGAAGTCTGACCTACCGCTTCTCGTATGCTCATTTGCTCAGACAGATTAATTAATTATTCATTAACTGTTATGAATTTTGCAAAATATTACATGATTTTCTTATTCTGTTAAATCCATTTTACCGCCTCATAATTTCGTTAAAATTTTCCAGATTCTTTATATCTGTTATCATTTCTGTATATCTATTAACATTAAAAAATGAGGCAGCAAATTCAAATTCAGGGTAGGTTATTCCATAAAAATCTTAAAAAACAGAGGGTAGTGATACATTACGTTACTGCCTGGCAATTATGGCAAGTTATGATTTTCAATCCGTAACTATAATTTCGTTCGATAACCATGAGCTAAATTATTTATTTAACCATTATTTAACCATCATTTAATCACTAAGAGAAATGAGCGTTATATTACTGGATAGTAGCGACGTTTGACACATATTTATAATTTGGTTAAATACGCGCGAAATTCAATTTCCATTAGGAATACTTATAGCTAATATTGTAGATTGTCTTAAGTTTATCTTCAGATACTGTACGAATCGTTTCATTGGCTACCAAACATCTAAAGATAAACATTAAACAATCTTAAATATAAGATCTGACCATAAATATTGTCCATATACTACATGTTGCATATAACAATTTCACTCCTCTTTTGATTTCAAATCTTGTCTGAGTACTGAGGGAAGAATGATTCATGGGTGTCTGTCTGTAAGTCAAAACAATTTAAAGTAGAAGACACGAAATGCAGTAACCGATGGTCCGCGCCGAAAGGCTTAATGATTTATTCATCGACCAGAGTCTGGTCCGCAATCGTTCGTAACTGAAAAGCTGGGGGAAGAAATAAAAGAAGAAGAGGAACAAGAAACATAGCTTGACGTTTTAGGAAAGAAAACTGTCGGCTTCAAATTGACGAGTGTGTTAGTAATCAAGGGATCCGCAGCTGCGCACTTGCGCTTGCCCCTCCTCGTGAGTTTTCATCTTTTTGCCTTTCTCGTATTCCGCGTAAGCCTGGTAGAAGTGGAGTATCCAATAAGAAAAACGGCGCAATGATCGTAGAAGATGTCCGAAGGAAGAGGAAGGAACGAAAAGTTATACGAGCAGGATGAGGAAGATGAGAAAAAGAAAAAAATGAAAAGGACATGGAGGAGAAGGAAGACGAGGAGGAAAGGCGAGTATGCATGAGAAGAGAATGAGAAGATGCCAAGTTTTTATTTATCACGGCGGAAACCGTATGAGTTTCTCTAATTCTCCCTGAAGTAATAATATCTCAGGAGCCATATAGGTTGGTCTGCCATCAGCTACTGTAATTGGCCCATTACTTGCTACCGCATGGAATGCAATCCAATTAGAGAGACAGAGAACGTACCCAGAGGCTCCTCGCCGCGTTACTCACCCTCTTGCCTCCTACTCCCCTTGTCGCTGCTGCTGCACATGTCCTGCTCGTTCTGCTGTTCCTGCTGTTCCTGTTGTTCCTACTTTTGCTTCTTTTCTGCCTTCGTTCCCCCTTCTCCATCCTGACCTTTCCTCTCACCCGGCACCCGGTCGCCCCTCGCACCTCAGCCTCGCGTGTCGCTTTGCTCTGATTCTCCCTTTCGGTCTCGCCGTCCTCGCTCCCCTTCTTCTCGCTCTTCTTGCCGCGAGATTCATCCGAATTTTGCCTTTTTGTCTTTCCCACGAAATTCCTGACGCAATAGATATCCCAGACAAAAATCGGGCGCTTCAAACGACGGTAAATAATAACGTAACTCACATTTCCAGCCCAACTACTACGCTTTCCCCGCTTTCTTTGAGCGCAAAATGCAGGTCGCCCTTGACAGATTCATTACTATTCTATGCTTCTCGCAGCTCGTCTCATCGCAGCCGGCAAAATTGTCCGAACGATCTTCTCAACTTTTCGCTTCGAAGAATTCTCTTCTTTATTTTTTATATCTGTGATGACTGGGAAACTCAATACATACTATATAAAAAAGATCAAGCGGAGTCGTTTAAGAAACTAGAAGTGATCATCGAGTGTTGGAAACAATATTCAATAGAGTGGGACGAAATCACATTACGTGTAACATAAAATGTGTTCCTCTATGTGGAGTAACCGCAATTTGCGGAATTTTTTCTCGATAATCATCAGTTTGTGGAATTAATTACGTGAAGAAATTAAAATATGAAATTATTTTATTAAATTAGAATTAAAGAAATGATGAGATAAAATAGAAACGACGTTTAATATTTCGTTACAGATCGCAACAAAGTCTTCTAAGTAGCAAAATAGAAAAAAAAAATCTTATTCGTAATATGTGTGGAAATTTTCCAATTATTCTTACACTCGTCGATCTGCGTCTCTGTGATGCAGCTGCGAATGTCAATAAAGTCTGTGCTAAAACACGCATTCGCGGACACAGTGGCAAGGCGCGTGCGCGCGGATGCGCCGCGATGCGACTATCGGCAGGTGCATCCGAGATTACACGTGTAAACGAGAGAGCATGTGCTGTGCGTGCACGTATTTACAGCACACGAAGCAGAGCAACGCACGTTGCAGGCAATTTTAACGAGCTGCGTGTGCACACCGGTTTTAGTTTAGCAAGGTTATTTGCTAAACGGCTTTCCTGCCTCCGTAAGTAATTGTCGCTGAACGAGAGCTTGGTCGAGCTATTTTGAATCGTTAGTCGAAAAAAGAGAAAGAAAATGCAAAAAGAAGAGAAAGGGGGAAGAGAAAGAGAAAAAGAGAGAGAGAGAGAGAGAGAAGAGAGAGAGAGAAGTATCATCTTGCCACTGAAGCTTTCCATGGAACGTGTTTGAAGTCGCGCATTATCCGTCCGTTACGGACATTTTGGACGAAGTTGAAGTTGACTTTTCCCCAACATCTACGAGAGATAATTAGCGGAATTAATGCACGAGATTGAAACTCGGGAATTTCGCAGCGCAAACTCAAGAAATTTATTTTTGTTCGTAGAAATAATGGAACGTTTTTTGTTATGTTAAAAGTTAGGTGATGACTTGTACGGTAAAATAAGAAGCGAAAGCGAATGGACTGTCAAGTCTCCGGCGTGACTGTAATTATAATTCGTAGGCTATCCATTTGACGTGTTGAGCGGCTCACGGATATGTCGTATTCTTTAAGTTTACTGAAATGGAATCTCATTCGAAAAGTAATGACTACCGACTCATTCGAACTCAAGTCCCTTTTCGTTCATACAGAATGAAATCTTCATTTTGAATCGTCGGGTACGTATTTTCATTCGAAATTGAAGAGCTAATCTGATGTACAGGAGATTCCTTTAACACAATCCTATTTCCTAGATATAGTGACGAAAATTTCCAATCAGGTGCTTCAGTTCTGAATATTTGTGCATCATGATCATTTATTCGGAGCATCGTTTTATATTTACTGATAATTCACAATAATTAACAGTTATGATGCATGAGTATTCTGACATAATGAGTCTGATTCAAAATTTTCGATAACACTGAGCCTAATGTCCTAATGAAACTACATGGGGGAAGGGATCTTCTCATTCGTTTGAAGATTTTTAGGAATTTTTTTGTTTAGAAAAGCTGTATGACATATAGTTCTGAAATTTTATTCAAATATTACTATTGTATAAATATTAATATTTATACAACTATAAAAGTAATTTTTGCAATGCCTTAGTGAGAAAATATTTCGGAATTTTTTATATTATTTCTCAAAATTTCGGTGAACATGTTAAGACTTTCTCAGAGCGTTTCAGATTTTTTATACAAATTAGAACGTTTCTGAGAAAAACTCAGATAAAAAAATTGAAAAATTCTAAATATTTCTGACAAGGAGAAAAACGCGATGTTCGACATTCAGATGTGAACGAAACTTTAACAGATTGTAGGGGAGGTAGAAGGTATACTACTTTCTACCTATCATGCATGTTTAGCGTAATATGGACACAGTACGAATCAGAAGAAGATGAAATAAAATCGAGCCGTCGTACAATGGGTTATATACAATTATATATAATCATATTTAATTTATATTTGAGTTTTGTCCCTATGCAGGGAGTTCCGTAAGTCGAGGTCAATCACTAGAGAAACCAAAAATAACAAAAAAGGTTGATATGAACATATGTCCGGAAATGCGTTATTTTCGAGTTATCGCAATTTTTATAACATAAATTGCGGTGAAATTGCAGAATTTCTTATCAAAATAAAAAAAAAAGAATGATTAGTATAGCAGAGTTTTATAACATAACTAAAGTCAAATCAAAGTTACAAGTTGCTTTAGCATTACCCAGAATGCATCAGGAAGTACAACCCTTAGCATCTATTAGCAAAAATCAAAACTCCACAATTCGTCAATCCTGTGATATTTAATGATTTCAAACCCTCTGCCGTGCGCGCGCGTATGTGTGTGTGTGATAATATATTGGAATCACTAAATATAACAGATGTGACGAACTGTGGGGTTTTGGTTTCTATCAAAGAATGTTACAGGCTGTATCTACACGCGGTGCATTCTGGGTAGAGCTAAAGCAGTCCGTAACTTTTATTTGACTTTAGATATGTTATAAGACTCACATACTAACCATTCCTTTCTTTAATTTTAATAAAAAAATTCAAAACAACAATTTTATGTTACAACATAAAGATGGCGATAACCCAAAAACAAGCGAATTTCCGGACGTATGTTCATATCAAATTTTTCCTTGGTTTTGGGTCCCTCACTATTTCCTGAGCAATTGCTTTCGATTTACGGGACATCCTGTATAGCTACACATTAATTATATATGTCCGCATGAAATAAAAATACTGTTGAATGAAAAACGGAAAAGATATTTTGATTGAATTCAATGTTTACATCGTGAGTAGCCGTAAACATGAGCATTTACATCAATTACATTCGTATAACAATATTTTTTAGATATAGGACATATATAATTATATATGATTATATATGAACATATATAGATAAAATTCACAAATAATCATTTTTCTTGGGAATCTATTACATAGTATCCGGGTTCCGACTTCGTGCTGCATCCTTCGTCAATTTGATTCTGACGATTTGAGAACATTTTAATTCCATTATACAAGAAGAAGAATAATCGGGAACATTTTAGATTGTTTAAACAAATTCAAGTTGCTCTTCCGTTTGAAGAAGAAAATGGAAATTTTCATGAAACGTCGCGATAAAAAATCTGTGAAAAAGTCACAAAGAACATGTTATTGAGCCGGAATTTAAATTAAACATCTCTTTACATTACGAAAACCTTAAATATCAGATACATAGTGTTTGTTGTGTTTTCAGGAGAAACCACACAAATGTTCACAGTGCTCGAAGTCATTCCCGACGCCGGGCGACCTGAAAAGTCACATGTATGTACATAACGGTCTGTGGCCGTTCAGATGTCACATCTGCAACCGTGGCTTCAGCAAGCCCACTAACTTGAAGAATCACATGCTTCTGCACCTGGGCAGATGCTCCAATAAGAAATATATCAAGTCAATCCCTGATTTGTGATCAAATGTAAACTCTTCAGAGAGTTCCGTGTGCAGTCTCGAGCTCGCTGACGTAAACGTAATGTGCCATTGCTGGTCAGACATGCAAATCGACATGAAGATGGCCGATACGCAGGTGCCATCTGCTTATGTTGCGATTGACTCAGGTATATGTGAAAGCGCGCTTGCTGAACAACGCGAAAAATCTGGCGAGGTTATTTAACGTGTTCGATTTTTCGCCAGAGTTGTCATGTTTCATGTGAGAAACGAGAAAACTCATGCCCAAAATTCTTACGAAGTACGTTAAAACAAAAGGATATATCCGTATAAGGATAAAATGACACTTGTGATTGATTGGATATATTTGTAAAATATTCCAAACTTTCCTCTCTAACAATCAATATAATTAATAAATAATTGTAAAATTAACATAATGTATAATCATTTTTAACTCATTCTTTTTCATAATTTTGTTACGTTATTTTTATTTATTTATTTATTGTTAAAGAAATATTTCCAGGATATTTTGCAAATATGCTCTGTCTATCACAAATATTATTTTATTTACACAAACTTTTTACCTTTATTTCAAAATATTCCGCAAGAATTTTGGATATTTATTTTTTTGTTTCTGACGTAATTAAGCGGCGAACAAGAGCCTTAATGATCTGATTTGCTGATTACGTTGTAATCAGTAAACGTTAACTAACAATAACATTACATCGATGTTAAAATTTCCCACTCAACTATGTGAGTGTAATGTAACACATATTGTACGTATTAGTTACAATGTGTGGGAAATTATAACATTGATGGTATGTTATAGTTACTCGTTATGTTTATTTTGAAGTATTGTATATAGTTAATCGTTCGTGATGAATATATCGTATCTCATTGATTAATCTTGATATTCGTGTCATATCTACAAATGCATTAATTTGTTTTCATATGCGCTGTTCATACGGATACGATAAAATAACGTCTCTGTGATTGAGCGGAATGATTTTGCATCCCTAATTTGTTTCTACGATTTAACTTTTTTTGAATATCTGACAATTAGAGAATTAAAGAATGTTTTCCTGCAGGATCTTAAAATGAGCTCTTGCTAGCTCAACAAGAATTAATCAGTCTCCCAAAGCTGTTATTTATCTTGAAAGTCTTATTTAAAATTAATTAATTAAGTAATAGGAACATAATAAACATAAGTCATACTATGTACAGATACACAAAAGTTCTTTATAAAACAAAGAATGTAAGTTGCCATTTTTTATAATAATTGTAAGTAATGATTAAAGAGATATATTGAAGACGTTCTAAGGAATGTACTTAGTTAATGCATGATATATACATATATATACGTACATATATGTGTATGTATATGCTATAAGATTTTCATTATGTCGCCGTTATTTCCGTCATAGGAAGCACGGCAACGATTTCCGTTGTATCGACTTTACCTATTGTTCAGGTATCAAGAATCTTCAAATAAATATTACCTACAGATATCATAGACTATTTATTTGATTGTATCGTAGGGATGGCCGATGCATGTTTCTTATAACCGGTGTAGATGCGTTGTGAATCGCAAACGGGATGTATTATTCGATCATTGATGTGTCTCGTTCCATTTCTTGTAATTTCGAGAATCGGAGTACAAAACGATGGGCCACGCGTGTTCTCTGTAAATATTCTATTAAACGGAACACAATTTGGAGATGTTTAGATTTTCACATTCTTCTTTTTGTTTCTTTTTCTCTCTGTTCGCCATATTAATAATCTTTAATAATTATAGTTATCTTTTTCTTTAATGTGCATCACTATACGCCGCCGGAGCCGCCGCTACCGAGTCCAGCTTTCGTGTCGACAGGTACTTGTTTCTGGAAACAGTCCTCCAAGAACTGTGCCATCGAGAGGTACAAATGTCCCTTCACGCCCGCCAAGGTGTGGCTCACGTCCGGATAGACCTATGAATAAATCAACGGGTAACGATAATATCACAATAACATAACATGTATCTTCGCATATAGATCAGGAATTCAGAATTTTTTACTATGGCTGATCAGTGTTCAGCCTTAGATGATTTCGGATTTATCTAGATGAAGATTATATGAAAATCCGAAAACTTTATCTTAGGACGGATGAAGACGACTTTGCGTTTAATTTATCTAGGTGAAAGATAAATAGCACTACTTATGTAGATAATTTTTTCGATTATATTGCTTTCATGACAGACTTTAGTACAAACTCGCAAACGTAACAAAGGAAAATGTCAGAGATCATCAAAGAACAAGGTCTATCAATGATAAACGTTGTGCGCGAACAACCCAAGTTTTCGCTGACGATTAAATTTTCTTTGAAAGAGATATGCTGCTACTTCTGGAGACAACTTGACCCCATGACATGGAGCAATTCATAGTCAGGTGAGATGTTGAGACCGTCTCAACAGATGTCTCATTGAGATGTTGTTGAGATTATGTTGAGGCCGTCTCAAGGTCATATTTCGTTTCTGTACAAATCATTTTATTCGCTTCGAGGCATGTGAAGATAAATTTAAGACGATCTTAAATATATAGTCTGTTTAATAAGAGCGTGATCAGTATAACATTCAATTAGTAAAAGCTATACTCCTGATTGTTGCGATAGAGATCGTGAGAGGCAAGAGGACTCATGTTAAACAAGCACCTCACAACGTGAGAGGGGACTCACAACTGTGTTTCCATTTATAAAAAAGTCAAGTTGACAAATAACCTCTGGAGTCAACTTGACCCTATGACATGAAGCATAACTGAACGTCAGACTGTTCTGATATGTTTTATTCATTTCTAGAGTGAAAATTTTTTTGACCTTGAAATGACCCTGTTGTGTCAATTTGACCCCACATATTTCCTTTATCGATTTCAGGTATTAAAAATAGGCCATTCCATTAAAAAAAAAAAGTTGACCTTCACATGACCTTGAAATGAAAAAGGACATCCGTGACAAAGACAAGATCACTTTTGTTTAAACGTTTTTCTCTAAAATACTTTTCTAAAAAGATATTTCAATAGATCTTATAAAATGGGGCACCGTGTATAAATGTCCGCCTATGTAATATCCTTTAACCTTTAAACAAAAATTAAACAAAATTAAACAAAAATACTTTTTTACGAAAACTGTATAAAACTTTGTTTAAATAATCATTTTTGATACCATTAACCATTTTTTCAATATCCCCAACTCCTCGCTTGTTTTCGGATTTTCGAAATAACAGGAGTGGTCTTTAATGTTCTCCATAAGAAAAAATTCCACAAATCTGGTATAATTTGATTATAATCGCCCTTGTCCTGCTTGATACCATTTTTTCTTAATTGTGATTTGATAGCTAGATTCTAACGAATTCATGTTTTGCGCTCAAAAATACTGAAATAACTATTTGCACTTATTGGAGAAACGTTATACCGAACAATCATATTGATGACACGCACGCACAAGTAGTATTTCTTCTTTCAACTATATCTAGGAAACGAAAGATCGTTGCGAAACGGAAAAAATGTATTTTAAAGTTAAAAGTTTATATTTCCACTTAGCGTTAACGAAATTTAGAAAATCATTTAATGTGAGTGCTGCACCATAAAAACTTTCAAAATCGTCGTTTTTAGCATCTTCGATTTTTGTGATCATATTTTTCTCCAAATTTTGACGTGATAGCCAAATTTGGAAAACAGATTCGTGTTCAGTAAGCAAAAATGAATAAAAATTACTTAATCTCATTACATTCGCAAATTCCGCAGGCTAGTTTTATACGTGGTGCGAAAGTATGGAAATCACAAAAAATCACGAAAAATATAAGTTTTACAGGGAAATGTTTTGGATGAAAGTTATAAAGTTTTAAAAAAATCTATTTACTAATCTTACCAGTTTGATTTGAATGGCGTCGACAAGATCAGGACAAGGTCAGGACAAGGTCAAATTGAACTTTTTAAACATGATTCCCTACTTATTATTTATATTACTTTTATTTTATTGCATATTCTTATAGTCCTTGTTGAGTCTTTTTCAAAACACTATAATAAAGTGTTACTCAAATAACACTCAAATAACACAAAAGTTCACCTTCTTTTTGTTAGGAATTCCCTGATATATTTTAAAATTTATCATGATACTTTTTAATATATATCTTATAAAATAAAGGAGGAAGACTCATCTAAGGCAAGATTGAAGGAAGACGTATTTTTTCAAAACAAAATAAATGTAAATATTTTAACAATTAGAGAGCTACTAAAAATCAGTTGTTTTCACGGTTACTCAAAATCAATTGTTATCATGGCTAATCTGATCTTGCCTTAGATGGCCGGATCTTTCTCCTTTATTTAACGAGACATTTCATATTTTATATTAAAAAATATCAAAACGAATTTTAAAATTTTTCAGAAAATTCGTAACTAAAAGAAGCTTTATTATAGTGTTCCGAAAACACCTCAACAAAGGCTTTAAGAATATGTAATAAAAATTGGGGGATTATGTTGAAAAAATTTAACTTGATCTTGTACTGACCTTGGTAATCATCCAAAGTCAAACTGCTAAGATTAGTAAATAAATCTTTTTTTAAAACTCGACAACTTTTATCCAATACACTTTTTTGTAAAATATATATTTTTCAAGATTTGTCAGGGTTTCCAAACTTTTTTCTAACCTTGTATATGAAATTTGATCATTCGTGTATACGATGATATATAACATCATATATAATTATATATAGGCAAATATAAATCTAAATGTAATTATATTATGTGCTTGAAGTTGTCGCTATTTCCTGCTACAAAAATTCATATTTATTTTAAAAAAATAGTTAATTACATCGTATTTAAAGTATTGTTTCGGGAGCTACAATTTTTTTTAATTTTTGGGTAACATATGGATTCCACGGTAGAAAAATTCAGGTATTTTCGAGACGATCCCGTCAACGAACCATTTTTTGATATCTTGGGAAAGACTTAAGTGCTGCACAAAAAGGTCATGCTGCATCGACCGAAACAAATGGTAATCTGAAGAAGCAACGTCTGGTGAATAGGGCGGGTGGGGTAAAACATCCAATGCAAGTGCCTCCAAAATTTCCTTCTGGTTTTGCAACATGTGGTCTTGCACTGTCACTGTTATTTTTCTTTGAGTACTCGATTCAAATTGAGTAATTATCTTCGGTTGCGTTCAGCATTGATGGTTGACTTGGTTACAGCAACCCATAATACACTACATCGGCTTGATCTTAACAAATGCATTGCGTGACCTTCTTTTCATGAATATCCTGTTATGCCGTTGATGCTGATGGTTCGCCGGGACACACCCATGATTTCTTGCGCCTAGGATTATCGTAACGAATCCATTTTTCATCGTCAGTTACAATTAAATGTAAAAACGACTTCCGTTTTAGTCTTTGAAGCAGCAATTCACAAATGGTTAAACGTTTCGCAATGTCTCTCTCTCTCAATTCATGTAGGACACAATTTCCTAGCTTCTGGATCATTCCCATTGTTTTTAAACATTTGTGAACGGTTGACTAATCGACATACGAGGGGGGACCAAAAAAACCGGATTTTTTGTATAAAAACTTTATTTATTAACTTTTTTACAAAATTCCTTCAGTCACCTTCAAAGTACTCTCCATTAGATGCGATGCACTTGTCAAGTCTTTTTTCCCACTGTTTGAAGTATCTCTGGAACTCTTCAACTTTGATATCGTCCAGTGCCCTTTGTGAAGCTGTTTTTACCGCCTCCGCATCATCAAAACACTTCCCTTTTCACCAAAGTCATTACAGATGATGAGAGTTAGTGTTACGGGTATGACCCAGAAACTAAGCAAACGTCAAGCCAGTGGAAGACTCCCAACTCTCCCAGACCAAAAAAAGCAAGCAGTTTTATCACTGAATTTTCATGTCTTGTAACCAAATTTTCAACAGACCTTTGTTTTATTTATATATAGTTACAAAAACTGAAATTTCTTTTGTGTATAGAATATGAATATAAGTGCCTATCACAGCAGGTGATAGTTATTACTTATGTCGAGAATATAAACCCAAGAAATTCGTCAGACGTATATACGTCCATAATTTATACCTATGACATTTGCAAAACGCGTTCATAATACTCAGAAAAAATTCCAATATTCTGTTTGTAAAAGAGATAATATCAAAATACCTGCTGCCGAAAGAGTATGCCTTTCTTAGCGAGATGACGAGCAAGTGCCATTGACTGTTGGAATTGAACGTTGTCATCCGCAGTCCCGTGCACCAAATAAAACATCTTGTCACGCAGATGCTCGACTTTGTCGTAAACATTGGACTCTGCGTAGCCTTTGTAGTTTGATGTCACGTTTGGTAGTCCCATATATCTTTCGGTATACGCGGAATCTGCATGACAAATCGTTCGCATTTCAGATTACAGATCACATTAAAGTTTCTGGTTCTTCGCTGCAGTCGTTTTGTTTGATGACATAAAAAACGAGAAAACGCATACCCAAAATTTTTTCGAAATACTTTAAAATTAAAAGATATGTACATAAAAGACACTTGTGATTAATTGTGAGATTGCATTTATAAAATATTCTCTTTCTCTAACAATTGATAAATAACCGTAAAATTATCATGATATGTAACCTTCCTTCTCAGCCTATCGTTTTATATGATTACGTTAGATTTATTGCTATTTAAAGGAATTTGAAAAATAACGGAGCCACAAGATAAATTAATAAATGATCTCCAACAAATAAAAAAACATAAGGCAATTCTTTTGCACGATAATGCCAGGCCACATATCGCTATGTCCGTGAGAAACAAGACATTGGAACTTTGATAGAATGTCTTATTCCATCCCGCGTATTCTTCAGATAATGTACAATCCGATTATTACTTGTTACGATCGATGCAACATGCGCTTCAAAGTATACATTTTCGAAACAGTGAAGTAATAAAAAAATTTATCGATGAATGGATGGCTCCAAAAAATAAATTTTTTTCTGTTGTAGAATCCACTTGTAGTTAGAAAGATGAGAAATGTAGCTGGCGATTGAAAATATATTGATTGGTAGACAATTTGTCTTTTAAATAAATTTGTTTATGAATTAAAAAAACCCTTAAAATTAACCTCGAAACTTCCAATAAAAGAAAAATTTTCGGTATATTTGACAAATATATTCAATCGATCATAAGTATCATTTTTGGACATATATTTTTATTTCAACGTACGTATTTCGCACAAATTTTAGGCATGCGAGTTTTTTTACTTCTGACGTCATTAATCAAGATGGCTGTGATGAAGAAATGGCCTTAAGCAATTAAAAATATGAGGAAATAACCTTAAGCAGTTAAAAATATGAGTTTAGAGATATCTTAACTAGAGTAGAATACCATAAAGTTCCCAGGAAACCACCGGTGCCACGCTTATACCACATTGAAACACATTTTGTTCCGGATGAGCCAAGACGAGGGCGGCTATGAAACCACCGTAACTCCAACCCCAAACGGCGACTCTTCGCTTATCTACGAAGTGCAGCGAATCTCGCAAATATCTGCGAAAAATTACAATTTTATTGAGAATAGCATGATGATGTCGATAACCGAAGAATTCTTTGTTACAAGAGCGACTTAGATAAACAGAAATGCTGAACATAGCAAACATTGAATGTATACTTTGTGATGCCACTGCAACAGCACATGTTTAAAATATGCTTGATTTAAAAAATACTCATTTGTTTCGCTATTATTTTAATCGAAATATTGACTTCCTATTAGTGCAATCATTCTGGATTAATTACTTTCTCTTTCGAGAAAATAAGCAGCAATATTTATAGTACCAATGTATTGCCGTAATTCTCATGGCATCAGATAATTTCTTTTATATACTGAGAAAATTTTTGTTGTTTATGGACGCATCTTAATATATTTGTGCTAGTCACCATGCAGACAATATACTAAAATATATTTATCTAGGGAGGTTATTGAGATTGATAAAGCCTGTGAGACAAAAATATCTTATGTTCACATTAACACGTTGATAGTAACAGTAACATCAAGGAACTTTATTCTTAGCACTATTTCAAAATCAATACTTTGCGGTTCGTCAACGATATATTCGGTTTGCCCGAGAAGTTTATACGAATTTTTTGGTTCAAAATAAAACAATTTTTGAATACTAAAAGATATATTTATTCATTAAAATATCCGCCGTTTTACTGCACAATTTTAACCTATCTTTCAAGCAACTGTAGGATTCCGTCCTTAAAATGTTTGACCAAAAAAGTCATCCATATGATTTTTTATTGCCTGCATATGGTTGAGTAAATTACCGTTCAATGTATTTTAATAAAGAACAAAATAAGCGATAATCTGTTCGTGCAATATCCGGTAAATATGTTAAACACGGTATAGAACATCCCAGCCGATGTGCAATTTGTTTCGAGTGATCAAAAATACGAGAGGTCTGACGTTGCCTTGGTGGAACACAATATCTTTTCTTTTCGCAAGTCTTGGCCGCTTCTGTTGGATGTTTCGACTCAAATTACCCAATTAACTGTGATATATGTCCGAATTTATTGTTTGGTTCTATGAAAGTAGTTCATAATAAAGAATATCCTGGCAATCTCATCAGATACAGAGCATGACATTCTTCGCATAAATATTTAGCTTTGGTATTTTTTTGACGCTTCACCAATCGGAATGGTAAAGAAGCTCGATGTTTTAGTGCCACATGATTTGATTGAAAAAATCTCAGTGATCGCATTTCCATTTGCGATTTGCTATATGAACGAAACGAAAATGATTTATTCCTGAAACGAATTGTGACAGGCAACAAGAAGTGGATTGGTTTACATTAATGTCGAAAAGATCGTGGAATAAGCGAAGTGAACCACCATTAATCACTTTAAAACATAATTTGCATCTGAAGAAGGTCATGTTTTGCATCTGATGGAAATGGAAGGGAATCTTGTATTATGATCTACTGCCGTACAACCAATCTATCAATTCGAACAAGTATTGTCCGCCGCTGAATGAAAGAAAGCGGCAAGAAATCTTCGGAATTATTCAAGAAGAAGTGTGTCGTTTTCAATTACGATAACTCCAGACCTCATACTTCTTTGCTCACCCGGCAAAAATTACTGGAGTTTGGTTGAGATATTTTGTCTTACTCATCATATTCACCCAACATAGCAGCCCTCAATTATCACTTATTCCGGTTGCTGCAGAATTCTCTTAATAATATGAGCTTTACTTCTTTGGAACACCTCAAAAACTACTTACAAGTAATGCCAATTCTGTGTCCTCTTCCGATTGAAATGAGCCTGAAATATATTGTAATTCAGATAAAAAATAGAGACGTATATTTTTTTATATATGCTCAGGCGGACTTTTAAAGAGCAAAACACTCATTTGAAAAAAATCGTTATTTTTTTTAGTAACATGTATCGTAAAAGTATAATAAATAAAAAACAAAATTCTAAATAAAAATTAAATGTTTCTAGGAGTACATTGTGATGAAGTAATCAGGTATTTGAAGAATGTTATGATTGTCAACATATCCACACTACTTACTAATTTTTTAAAATAATTTTAAGATTTTTTATCTACCAGAAAAAAGTATATTTTATGCTAAATCCAACCATATAAACAATATGATTTTCCGACATTTGGACTTTATGAATAAAGGTGGAAACATGGTGGGTTCAAATTTCTATTATTATTAATAACTTTTTACATATTTCTTTGATTATTTATTTTTTTTAATCGTTATTTTTTTATTATTTTGTTCAGAAACGTTTCATGTTTTGTCACAGTTTTATAAAAAAAAAAAAAACGTTTTTTTGCACAATTTTTGTGGAAAAGCCGTGTATATATATAACAAAACATGAAACGTTTCTTTACAAAATAATAACAAAAATAATGATTAAAAAAACAATTAATCAAAGAAATATGTAAAAAGTTATTAATATTAACCCTTTGCGCTCGAGAGGTGCCTCTCAGGCACCACTGGATATGATGTGACAACTCGAGCGGTGCCTCTCAGGCACCACTCGGATCGAGGCAGCAAATCGAGCGATAACGGTGTTTATTTAGATTTGGCCTAACGAATATCGCTTCACGAGTCTACTCCTAGCCCTTTGTGTGTAATCTTATGAGATAATGGCTAGCCAAGGATGCATCTTGGAGATTGTTTTATAAAATACCATACGAAGCAANTGTCTTCTCCCGACAGCCGCATAGTAAGGACATGCGTTTCCGTGGAAGTCGTTTTGTGACCTTATGCAAGTAAAAATGCAACACGTTAGAACAAAGGATGACGATCAAGTTTTGCGTTAAACTTGGCAAGACCGCGGCGAAAACTCTTCCAATGATCAAGACAGCTTTTAAGGAAGATGCCCTGTTGGATCGACAAGTGTTCCGGTGGCACAAGGTTTTTTTGGAAGGCTGGGAAGAAGTCGACGACGAAGCCCGTGCCGGACGGCCATCGACGAACACCACGGACGACAATGTGACGCGAGTGAAAGAACTTTTGAACACAGACCGACGATTGAATGTCCTCCCCGTTTACTGTCATAGTTATTAGACACAGTTATTAAGGTTCAAGGCGTCCGGCTGGACATCGTAAAGGACTGAAAGTTGCATCACAACAACGCGCCGGCCCACAGCTCCTTCCTCGTCATCAACTACTTGGCCAAAGAGTACTAACGATTCCCCAGCCTCCGTACAGTCCGGACGTCTCTCCCCCCGACTTCTTTCTGTTTCCACGCCTGAAAGGACCCATGAAAGGAAAGCATTTCGAGACCATTGAGGGGATCCAAGCAGCTTGCACCGCGGCTTTAAAAAACATTCCGGAGGAGGCGTACCGTGGCGCATTCGATGCTTGGAAAATTCGCTGGAGCCGATGTGTCAACGCAGGAGGAGCCCATTTTGAAGAATTTTGTAACGAATTTGTTGTAACGAAAAGTTCAATAAATTGTTTTTAATCGACTCAATGACATTACTTTCTGGACAGACTCTGTATATATATATATGAAAAAGTTTTACCTATATTTTTCATAAAGAAGGTTAAAAAATATTTGTATTTATTAATATTTCGTAATAAATACGTTATATATGAGAGTGAACCTTTGTTATTCTTTGATAAAAAATAATTATGTTAAAGAAGGAACGAAGAAAGAATAAAATGAAAAGACTTTGTTACACACATTTAAATGTATGTATACATGAGAGAAGATGGACATGAAAACAGATTATAATCGAGTTTGTGACTTTTATTTAATACTTAAATTATTGAATAATACTTGTATTATTCAATTGTAAGATATATTTTCACCAATAGATTAATTATTGTGTCTATACATAATTCCGTAGCGAAATTCCGACAGATGTCGTTCGCAGTTGTTTTTCCGTTCGCACATGTGTCAAACATATAAAGTGTCGTATATTAAGTGAAAGCTGAAATTTGTGCTGACATTTTAAAAAAGTATTCATCGACGTGACGTATACGAAGTTTAATTATATTTTGAACATGGAAGAATAAAACATGTATTATCTGTGCATTTCGCTTTTTTATTTCCGAAAAAGCAAAAGCGCGCAACAAGCACAGCTTTGGGAGAAAATGCTGTAATATATAAAAAATAGTATCAAAAATTCCGGAACGGTGATTTCGACTTTACCGATAAAAAACATGTCGGCACACCAACAAAGTTTGCCGACAAACATCTGGAGCTATTATTGAGTAAAACCTCGATACAAACTCAAAATAAGTTTTCTGCACAACTTGGAATAACCTGCCAGTTAATTTCGATTCATTTACATAATCTAGGGAAAATTCAAAAGGGAGGTTGATTCAAATGGAAAGGTTCTACATGAGCTCAACTTAAAGAACAAACCGCGAAGATTTGATACAGAGATATCCTTGCTATCAAGATATAAATTGAAGGACTTTTTGTACAAAATTGTGACAGTGGATGAAAAGTGAGTCTTCTATGACAATCCTAAACGAAGAACATCGTAAGTTGATCCTGGTCAACCATTGACATCGACCACGAAATCCAATATTCACGGAAAAAAGTTTTACTCTTTATTTGGTGGAATATAATGTATGTATATTATGAATAGCTAGAACGAAGCTAAATAATTACCGCTGACTGCAGCTGCTACCATCTGCAGCTTATTCGTTTAAGCGAGGAAATTGAAAGAAGAAGGCCTTTTACTGGCCATGGAACGTAGCAAGTCATCTTGCAACATGACAACCCTAGATCGCACATCGCAAAAAGAACTAAGATAATAATTTATTCATTGGGCTGGGAAATTCTCCTCCATGCGGTTTACTCACCGGAATTGGCACCTTCGGACTACTTCTTCCGATCGCTGCAACACTATATAATTGACAGATATTTTAAAAGCGTGGGAAAGCTTTGAAAATGTATAAATGACTAGCATCAAATTAAACCATCTTACTTTTGACAGGAGATACGTACAGCTGCTCGATAGATGAACAAAAACTGTAGAAAATGATGGAGAATATTTCGTTGATTGATATATTCATATATAATTTGTGTATTTGAAAATAAATGTTTAATTTCTTCAAAAGGGCACTGAAATTATTTGCGCAACTAATATTTGCAGTCGAAAAATTACAACTAAGCATGAATCATAAGCTCGGTTTACTTGAATCAAAAAGCCTGACAACTTCATATGGAACACGTGAACACGTGCACACGTGAACGAAACACAAAGTATTAATTACATTTATTTTTCATTTAATTTTATATTCAGCAATTATTACAAAAGAAAAAGAACATCCTAATTAATTATATTTAGTTACAATTTATATTAATATTTATACACACAGACGCACACACACACACATACATACACAGAACAACATTCACAAAGAAAAAAGGACAAGTGAACTCATAGTTAGAAAATAGAGAATTCTTGTCTCATGCTAACTATGAGATAACTTGTGTTTGGCAGTCAATATGTTATTATCTCTCTTACTCTGTGACTTCGAGTTGATCAGCCACTTCCACGGAACCCAGCCTGTAGTAAACCTCGTGAAGAAGCTTGTAACCTTGCCCGCCGCTCCCTCTACCATCGATCTGCGCTACAATAATATTTTTCCTACTGGCTAAGTATGTGTTCCAATCTACCTTGAACATTTCGGTGACCAGTTGTGATCCAGGAGCACCGTATCTGCAAATAAACTGTCATTAACTGTCAAACGCTCAAGTTTAATTGTCCATTTAATTGTCCATTTTTTTTTATCTATACGAAATACGGCCACGTGAATAAGAAAAACTGACCAGCTCTAAGCGACTCTCAAATAAACGATCAACTCGGCGCGAGTAGCCAAGGCACACTCTTGCAACTTAATATTTATAATCTATCAAAGGAACCGTTGGAACTGTCTCCCACATTTAATGGGCTTTGGATATGTTGTAGAGCAACAAAAAAATATTAGATCAATATTTTTTTATAAGCTTATCTCAAGATTTAGGGATTGAAACAATCACTCGAAAATAACGGATTTTTTCAATTTTCAACAAATATCTTTTAAACTATTACGTACAAGAAAAAATGTTTTATATATCTAATATATAAAAAATATATGGAAAATAGTTTTACGATATATCAATGAAAAATTTACAATTTTTAATAATAAACCTGTGTTTTCTATAAAAATTACTTCTTGCGTGAATTTTGGGAAACCCTATATATATATAATTTAAGTTAATAAAAATTTCAATAAGGAAAATAATTTAAAGAACCGGAACCGAAAAAAGTAATTTAAACGGTTTACCGGTAATTTCGTTGTCCAGAAAACCGAAGCCGTAACTGGAATCTTTATTAAATATTTTAGGAGACTGTAACCGGAACCAAACTGATATTTTCATTCGATCTGAGTCCCTGGTTTAGAAAATATTTGCTGAAAATTAAAAAATCCGTTATTTTTGAGGGATTGTTTCATCTAAACCGTGTACTGTATGTATAAGGCAATGTGATGAAGCACAGTTACCGAAGAAATAGGAACTTTCACACGTTGATCTCCTTGTCTAAACATTAAAGAAAGCCTATAAAAAACAGGAATCTAATATTTTTTGATGTTCAACAATATATCCAAAACCATCAAAATTGGTGAGAGACAGTTCTCTTGTAAGAAAGAAGTGCAGTTTTTAAATATAATGCATATATTGCTGTATGCTTACACCTGGACGACCAACGGATAGCGTGTGATCTCGTCTTCTCTAAGCCCAGGCGGGAGATACAATCTCACTTGGGCGTTGTAGCCGCCGCTTATCTGAACGGGAAATGTTTTTATTTGTGGTAACGCGATGTTCGATATTCTTTCCTGCAACAGATATTTACAAAATTCGTGTACTGTATGTATAAGACAATGTGTTGAAGCACAGTTACCGAAGAAATTGGAACTTTCAAACGTTGATCTCCATGTCTAAATGATGCATGAATTCCGTAGAATTCTCATCAACCGTTTGTGGTTGAGGGTTACATTTTCCCAATTAGGAATGATTTTAATAAATATTTAGAAAAATATCGAATATAAATCAACGAGGTTAATATTAACACTTTACAGTCCACTTTATGCTCCGTATGAAATTGTCACTCTTTCTGACTCGAACAAATTGAGCCTATGATTTATACATAGTCGCATTTTTGTTATATTTTTACCGCAAATAAATATCGATATAAAAGGACATATTGAAATTATAGGCTTCAATATTTCGATATAATTCAGATATTTGTTAACGCGACTCTCTAAAGAGAGATTTGACTAGAACCAAAACATATGCAAACATGCGCTACGCGCACGCTGTTTAGCTAATTACTATTACTAACCATACAAGACAGAAACTTGCAGTAATATTGCTGCAACACTGCAGTATGAATATAAAACATTCTCTATTTTTCAGTTCGTGTAACTAAATAGAATTAAAATTCGATCACGAGAACTGTCCAGCAAGAAATGAACCATTTAATCGACATCAAATCGAAGTCAATTCGATATTCATTATCATCTGGATGATATCTCTGTTAGGCCTTATGTACACGGTGTTAGATCTTAGACAAAGTTGTTGACCAGATATAAAAGTTATTAAAAATTATTTAAATTAAAAGTACATTTCAAGTATATCTACAAAATTAAATACTAAATTAGTTAAAGATCTAGCATCATGGACACAAAGCCTTATTGTCAAAATATATTAAGACTTTCACACATGGAAAAACGTATTCAATAACACATAAGCAGTAAAGAAGTTGATCAATCAATCAATATATTTCTTAGGGTTTATATATTTCAAAAGACGATAAAAATAGCGAATAATGGCATTAAGCAAAAGTAAATAGGATTCCAACTGGTTGGACTGCTTATTGCTTCCATACCCTTTAAGTCTTATTTCTTACGTTTTTCCATACGTAAAGGTTTTTATAGTATATTCATCAGGGCTATTTTTGTTTGATGACGTCAAAAGCGAGAAAATTCATGCTCAGCATTCTTGTGATATAATTAAATAAAAAGATGTACTTTCAAGATGACACTTGGGATCGCTTTAGTACATTTAAAATATTTCAAACATTAAACTTTTGTTTAAGCAATCGATAAATTGCCACAAAATGAACGTGAAAAGTCAACAACACTGATTTTAGAATAAAAAAGTACGAAATTTGATTCAAAGTGGGGGAAAAATATGCTCTTACGTGCTAAATTTCACTTAATGCGCTGTATACGAGAGTGGATCAAATATAGCGCCATCTGTCAACCAGTTTGTTTACAGCTGTTGGATTTGTTAGTCGACCTCAAGGGTTTGCGATTTTTTAAATGAATAACCTCTGCGATTTTTTAAATGAATAAAAATATCGAACATAGAATTTGTCTCAAATTTTGTGTTGCCAATGAAATTTCTAGTGCTAATTCGTTGAAAATGTTAGAGAAGGCCTACGGTAAGTCAACTTTATCGAAGACACGAGCATACGAGTGATGGTACAAAGCCTTCAAAGAATGCCGAGGAAATTAAAGTCATGTTAACCATTCTTTTTGATAATCGTGGTGTTGTCCACTTGGAATTACTTCCGGAGAAGCAAACAGTCAACAAATAATATTATCTGGGCGTTATGAGGCATTTGAGAGAGAAAATTCGCCAGAAAAGGCCAAATTTATGGAAGAACAATTCTTGGATTTTGCACCACGATAATGCGCCGTCCCACACATCGACCCTTGTACGCGAATTTTTTACCAAAAACTCAACGAATGTCATCGACCATGCATGGCATTCGCCGGATATGGTCCTGTGTGACATTTTCCTGTTCTACAAATTTAAATTATATCTTCGTGGAAAACGTTTTATGTCCATTGATGCTATAAAACCAAATTCGCAGAAAGAGCTGCAAGCCACCGGAAAGTGTTTATAAGAAGTGTTTCACCGACTGGATTACTCGTTGGCAAAAGTATATCGCATCAAATGGAGCCTATTTTGAAGGCAACAGAGTAAATGTGAATGATTAAACCAATATTTTATGTTTTGTTGAACAATTCCCGGTATTTATTTGACAGAATATATATGGGTAAATTTGACATACGATCTATGATCATTTTTTCTCCCGGGCATCGACGTGTATACTTTTGCACCGCCTTTGAAGCATTATCGTCTCAGAAACCGTATAAGAAAACCATGTCGTCATATTCAACGTTAGAATAAATAGTGTTATCATCTTATTATTATTATTCAGTTTACATTCAATTTTCGCTCATAAAATAGTAAAATATATAAAAACGCATAAAATATTATGTCTTTTCTTAAATGACTTGTTAATTTAAAAACCAAGTCATTTTGAACCTTCCGGTAGAAGTAGATATGCCTATCGGGGATGTAATTGGCTGATCAAAAAATATGCACCAATCACAAATAATTGATATTCAACGGTTATGCAAGCATTAAGTTTTTTAAATGCAATTTCTGGCTGCATTCAGCGAACACAACAGATGAATGAGCGACTTTTGGAACATGGATATGATTAGCAAATTTAAAAATACACAGTGTACTTTATCCGAGAGAACGTTCTTAATACGTAAGGCATTCTCTTAGGACGTCTCCTAAAAGTCTGTACTGTAGGAGTATACATCAATAATAGATAATTGTTATTCAACAATTATATAATCGTTATGTTTCTGTAATTGCAACCTACGTTAATGTTATGGAATAAACTTACGCGCAGTAATGTATTGTTCTGCAACATGGTGATAAATTGCGGCACGGGCATCTCCATTTTGTACAAGCTCACGGTGGGCACGCCAGGCCCGAGGCACTCAAGGACGAAGTACTCGAGACCGTCAGGCGGGAAAATTGCGTTATGATATTGACAGGGCAGACCATTCTCTGCAAGTAGACATCGAGGCCAAATAATAATAATCGCATGTCCGTCACACACATATCAGGCGTTTTTTAACATGTATGCGTGATGCATTATTTACGCAATTTCAGACCAATATCATCTAGAGGATATATCGGAATGTATTCGCGATAAATTTCGAATGTACTCTAGCGTTTAACATTTAAATATATACAGAGTATATGCCACAAAAATTCGGACCAATTAAAATTAAAATTTCTCGTCTCACTTGACTTAGACGGTAAGTTGTTGATGACGTTCGGGCAAGTCAGATATTTGTAGTAAACGTGCGTAACCTCAAAATGTCCGAGCAGATAAGATCAAGTGTGGAGACCGAAGAGCAGCGAAAATCGAAGGCCTTCGCGCTGGACATTCGCAGACCGAAATTATTCGGTTCTTCGGATACCCGAAATCGATCATATATGATGTTGTGGCTAAATATAATATAGTTAGGACGAAGTTTTCGGCCTCTGTTCACGTTCTAAGCGTTGTCTTCGGTGAGGATCACGTCATGCCGCCGCATTTCATTCAAAAGAAAGAAACCATCACAAAAGATGTTTATTTACGCGTTTTGATGTCGTAACTTAAATCTAGGCCTTTTTCTCTGAACTTCGATATTAATTTATAAAAAGTCGAATAGTTACATAATCTTCGAAGTAATCCCCCTCGGTTTCTTTGCACATTTGCGCCACCTTTCGGGAAGCTGTTGAACTTTGGAAAAAAGAGGGTTGATTTGAGTTAATAAACTCATTACTTTTATCAACATCCTTGAAAGAAGCGAAGTGTGTATCAGCCAGGTTCTTGCAAGTATCTGAAGATGAGATAATCCGAAGGGGCAAAGTCTGGAAAATACGCCAGATGCGATAAAATTTCCCAGCCCAAGTGAATGATCATTTCCATAATCATTTTTGCTGTGTGCGGCCGCGCGTTGTCCCGAAGCAAAATTACCTTTCTTCTTTCCTTGCTAGTATAAGGCCTTTTTTCCTCCAGCGTCACTAACATGATTCAGTCGCTGCTGATAACGCTCAGCAGTGACCGTCTCACCACGTTGGAGCGACTCAAAGTGTACGACGCCCCGCTGATCCCACCATATGTACAGCAACATCTTCTTGGCGTGGATATTGGTGTGGATATTCGGTCTTGCGTTACTGGTCAAAGGCTCACCCAAATAAACCTACGATTTTCGCCTCTGAATTATTGTAGGGAATTAATTTTTCGTCGCAGGTCACAATTTTGTCCAGGAAATCCTTCTTCTTGAATCTAGAGAGCAACGACACAATAATATCATAGCCTCTTTTATTCTCAGCTGTGTGTTCGTAGTGAACCCAACGGCCCTCCTTTTGAATCCCCCCCAGCTTGTGTAGACGCTTAAAATTGGCTTGTCGTGTTATTCCGAGTTGCTTTGCGAGCTCTAACTGGGTGCGAGAAGAATTTTCTTTCAAAAAATGTTTTAGTTTCACATTTTAAGCTTTCTTTGGTTGTACTGGATGTTCTTCATCATGAAGGTCGAAATTTCCACTCTTAAACCGCTGGAACCCTTTACTACAGGTACTGTAGGAAAGAGCATCCTCCCTCAAAGCCGCACAAATTATATCCTGGGCTTCAGCGACACTTTTCTTCAATTGAAACCGAAAATGAGGCCGTGCCTCAAATATAGTTCCTCGAATGGCATTGCTTTCGCCACTGCTTTTTTAGGTGCTGCTTAAATTAGTACAACTATCAATTACTGCAGTGCGTTTTAAAGTTTACAGATGACGCTTCACTATGACTATATGGAGAAAAAAAAATATGAATTTAAATAGGTCGGTCATCGACTGTCATCGAATGAAGTTAGGGGCCGAGAATTAAATTGCGCAACTAATAATATTATTGCACTACTGCTTATCATAATTTCTCCGTTGCAAAATGATTATAAAAAGGAAACTTCTCAAATGAGATCAGACAAACACATAAAGCAAATAACATTTTGGACTCACTCGAAATATTCTTGTTTTTCGATTTGTCCTTTTTAGAGGAATGTCGGTGTTCTTTATTGTCAGTGCCCTCTGTCTGAGTGTCATACCCCTCATGCCACTCGCTCCGGCTGGCCGGATTGTTAGTCTGCCGACTCGGAGAACTAATCCAATGTTCGTTTTCATCGTAGCTCGTCATGCCGGACGAAGAGGTGGTGCAGGTGAGGCATACAGCAGGATGCAGAGGCGATCCTGTGACTGGTAGAGCGGAGTTTACGCGGTAGAGATGTCTCTGGCCCGGTCTCATGGATGGAATACCGATGAAATATCTAATCGAGAATATAAATAATTTCTGTATATACGATGTTTGTGTGTTTGCGCGGATTTCACTCCCATAATTCATGCAAAATGCATCAAGTCGATAGATCAGGAATTAATCGCTTACATAGTATTATTTGTTTGGTCCCATACTAAAATCCTAACGACTTCGAATTTGCCATGCGTCAAAGGCACTACTTGTTTACGGAGCACACTCGTCCATATTATATGCTTGTAATATCCCGCTGGTCCGTCTTTCACGGGGCTTATCGCGACATAACTACTACCGTTTGTCGAAAAGAAAGGAGCCTCCGGGGGAGTGTCCACCCATCCGCGATCATCGCCCGTTATCCTTTGCATTTCCTGGAATAATTAAAATAAGCTAATATTATCCCCAGGTAATAAAGAAGCTTGAAAGAGTTGAATTTGCTACTTTTTTCGACCAGTTGAAATTAGGGCTAGTGTTTTCTTTCGAAGACTTTGACATTTGAATTTTCAAAATAACTTCGTAGCTTCGTAACTTCGAAGCTTCGAAATATCGAAATTACGGGATATTTTTAATGTAGAATCATCATTTGAAATCCACTATCTAATCTTACCTAATCTGTTATAATCTAATCCTAATCTCATTCGCAAAGCTATACTTTTCGAAGTTTCGAAGATCATCTTTGAAAGCATATCTTCGAGGCTTCGATTTACTAAAATTCGAAAGTTCGATGTTTCTTTTAAAGCTTCAAAATTATCGAAATAATAATAACCTAAGTATAATAGTAAAAATATTTGGAAAAAAGAAATGAAAAGCACGCCACTATATTTTTTACGTTTGCAAATTAAAAAATATTAGATACGGTGTCTACAAAGTTACCGCGACTTTTCAAATTTTTGGAATGAAATATCGTTCGAAACCAGGAATGAGTAGAGAAGATGGTAGTATTATAGCTCTTGTAGGTATTATGGCCTTTCATAATATTTCCACTTTTAGGTGGCGAATCCTAGTCATTATTTATGGTATCATTTATTTTATTGTCCATCATTACATAATAACATGCTAATATAAAATAGTTAATATTTATTATGGCATATGAAACGCATTTTTATTTTTCAACATTTCGAAACGTTTTCAAGGTTCAATTTAATATTTAATTACATACTTTCACATTCTTTTCATGTTTGAATGTATTATCATATAATATATATACATTTAAGTATTTTATTTTATAGTTTAATATTATATTCAGTTGTATACATTTCGAGTTATGTAAAATTTAAAAAATAGCATAGCATTTTGTTAATGCTTTCTATGAGTGCCGATAATATGGTTTCTTTTTCAAGGTTTTCATGTCGAAATAGTTATTCGATAAGCCGATTCCAATCTATAGTTCACTGCCGCACTTCTGCCTGCTCTGAACTGCTGTCTTTCTGATAGATTGTATCTTCTAACAAAAAAGTTTATATCTACATTAAAAATTCATGGTTGCCTTCATTGTTATTTTTTCTAAGAGTTTATTTTGAATACATATATAGTTTTACGTTAAAACACTTTGTTATTTTAAACATAATCAATTTTTTTAATCTATTTCAATTGCAGGCCACATTATCACCCTAGTTTCTTTACAACCTTTTATATAATATCACATTTTTATGTATAAAGTTTTAAATCAGAACTTGGTAAGCAATGCATTTTCTAGGCGATATTAGGAAGTTATTTCCCTTACTTCATCGCTCAGAGCGCAGCCTACAAGCCGCTCGAGTCTTAGAAGCGTGGTCACATCGTGCTATGGGGCCTGTAGGAGGAGAAAAATAAAAATTTTTGGATCTTTTGTTAAAGATACTATATCTTTTGTTAAATATTTATTTTAATCATGAATAATTATTTTCAATAGTTTTTCACGTCACTTATCAAATATTATTGTTAACGTTGTTTTTCAGTAGTAATCCAAATAGATTTATCCCAATAATAACTGAAAAGATTAACAGATTGGACAGAAACAAAATATTCCTCGTGCATATATGTTATGTGCTTCTGCTCATCAAGCTTCTGTCCAGTCAATTACTTTTCTCAATTATTAATGGACTAGGCTTATTGGGAATATCACATAAAAACGCGTCAGCAATAGTATCTCATAAGTAACGTGAAAAATTGTTGAAAACATATATTCACGATTAAAATAATTCATTAAAAAATAGAGCATTTTTAAAAAAGATCCAGGTCTTCTATTTTCCTTTTATGGATCCTATAAGACGATATGAGGTAAACACATTCCTACGACTCGAGTGACTCGTAGGCTACAGTGCGACAAGACAAGAGGAATAATGTGAGTCTGAGCCTCCAGAAAATTAACTGGAAAGAGTATCGCTTATCGAACTCTGTTCCAAATAATAAATATTTCATAACTTTGGATCTATAATTAATCAATATTTTAACAAACTGTTTAATTTCCAATTTAAAATATTAATTGTTTACAAAGTTATTGTATAAAATGTAAGTAGGGAGCAATAACACCACCTTTTCCTCTACTGGACAATGGTGGCCAAACCTATCAGTTGGAATTGTCCTTTTTTTCTAATTTATAACTCTAAAACATTCCTTTTGTTTCGTACTTTATAATCTAATCAAAATATAATACGTTAGACGATATACCCATGTTATACTCCTCTTTCCAATTGGATAATGTGATAAAATCTAAGAATAATATATCAAATCCTACTCTAACGTGAATGAGTGCGTAATGAAAATTCATTCGGTACGAATACCACCATTAAAAATTGTAAGAAATAAATAATAAATATATAATTCAAGTTTAGAATTCTGACTCCATACGAGTAGATATTTCAATTGATTAGAATAAATATCATACAAAAAAATAAAATTCATGAAAATTATGTAGAACATTAAAGGTGTTTCTGTGACAGAGGAATATATGAAATTTACTTTTCAATTTTTTTAGTGAAAACATTCACTTGGCGATTTAAAGTAGAAAATTTACTCCATTTAAATAAAAAATCATTTAAATTCAAGTAATTCGGCTATTAACCTACTTTTCAAGTGAAATTTCAGTCTATGAAATTTAGAAAATATCTTAAAGGTAAGAATTGATGACATTCACGAACCTGACAATGCCACATCGGACTTTTACAGACGGTCACCACTGAAAGATTTTGAGCACGTGTCAACCACGTTATGCAGACTTCTGTCAGGGACACCCAGGAAGCGGTCGAGAAGTAGTGATCCCTGATGGGAGAGATAATGACATATTTAAAAGATTTATCCGTCTTGACGTCAAATTATATGAACCGATAGAATAGCCGTTTCAAAATTTAAGAAAATGCTGACAAAGGGAAAGTCAAGTCTTGTCATGGGTTTTGCTCAAATTGGAAAATATTTTAGTAACAAGCCTTCCCACTAATTGATAGGCAAATAACACGATCCTGATGAAAATCCCCTTAATTGACCCCATTTCATTAATATACGCAGTTCTTAGTTTAATTCAGTAAATTTTAAGAAATTTAATATTAAACCATTTTTTTATTACTTTTCAGAATTATGTTTTAATTTTCATTTTAAATTTCATAATGAAAATTATGATTTATTTTGAAATATTTATTATTATATAATATATTTCAATAATTTTTCAGTGACTTCCATCTCATTGTTCATCAAGTTCATAATATACCAATACTATATTAATATAAAGAAAGTTAAAACATACTGTTGAAATTTATTTAGTATTTTGTTTTTCATAGAATGGCAAAGATAATTTTCAGCTTATTACCACTGCTAGGGCTTTTTTACAAACCGTTTTATACATAGCCAAAGGAATGCAATTCTCAGGCTCGCCTATTTTTTCGCGATTAGCTTTATCTTTTTTCTTTAAAATGAAACTTTAACGAAAATAATATGTTAATTTTGTTTATAAATTTTTAATGTGCTAGAACGTATGTGTACCACTAGCCACTAAGAGGTTAATTTAATTGGTTCTATCTATTTGTTGCAAAATATAATAACTATTTACTTTTAATACGATCAGTCATTCTGTAAGTTGTTTTTCACGTTGTATCCACATTAAAATAGCGTTGTATCATCATTAGATAAATATATTTGATACTTGAATATTTCTAAAACATTTTACAACATTCAAAGAGACTGTATTGTTTGATAATATCTTTGAATTATATTTAAAATATTAAGTAAGAACGTTCAAAAGATACACATAAAATCAATACTTTCAGATATGAATCTAATGTTCATTGTTTAGTGGGTTCTTTTCGTAAAGCAATACACAGTAGCGGACTATTAATCTTGTCATCTTGCAAATTAATTATCAAAACTACGTGGTACAAGGAATATTCATTCTGTTACAAATAAATAAACTCACACATGTTCGATGATAGCTGGCGGTTTCACTACCTTTGTATGGATATTATTCGGGTCAACTAGGTCAGCAACATATAATCGTACCGAAGGATTCGGCGTTCCAGGCTAGAAAATGAAATAATCTTAGGACACAGATTCTTTCAGAGGCAAACAGAGAAAAAAGTTGGACTTCGCTAGAATGTCGCAATGAATTCTCCAGCATATGGCATACCTTTGGATACCGTAAAGATCGTATATCAGGATATAGTGCTTTGTTGCCCTCCCCGAACCAGGAAATGTGCATCTCCTCCACAAGGGAATCATTAAACGAGGCGTAAAGCATCATGTGGCCGTCTGATGACATCCAAATCGCCTTCGCGCTGTGCAATATTTCTTCTATAAATTAAATAAATATTGTTCCAATATAATATGTATATATAAATTCTTTCTATTTGCGTCTGACTCAAAATATACGTATCCATATTAATTCTGTTAATTCTATAATACTGTTAGTATAATTCGGGTATTTTGATACCCTCGGGTAATATCCGTGGGTATCGGTTCTCATGTCTCTCCTGTCCCTGAAGGATTATCCGAGTATCAGAATTTACACATATATACCTGGATACCGTATTCATAGATATTAACCCAACAACCAGGAAATAAACAGTAAATAATAAAGAGAAAATAATTTAGAATATATTACAGTTACTATTTGTTATCGTTAATAAAATCAGTAATTTGTGAAGACTGAAATTAACTATATATATGGCAAGTAAGCAAATTGATTGCAGATTACGCGCAGGTTGGTTGCAAATTTGATCACCACCTAACGTCAAAACCATCTGTATCTGCATTCAATTCATATTTTGGCGACAAATTCTGCTGACAAGCAATCCGAATAAATTAGCACTAGTAGCCGCACAGAGCCTGCTGCCAAACTGCCTGCAGCAAGAACGCAGTTTCCGTCACCAATCTGCCGTTAAATTGCTATAGACTTTGTTCAGTTTCTGCCTCTAACCTGGTCATATTGCCTGTCAGCATATTCTGTCATATTTCTGGCAGCAATTTGGCAATATAATCAGATAAAACAGATTCTGTGTTGGATTTGTTACCTTTCTGACCTCAAAAAAGCAGGTTCTATTAAGAATCTGTTTGTGTAGGTTTGGCTACCTGGGTTATCCGGATTATTCAGATATCAAGATAATAGCTGAATATTCGAAATTGACAGCATTAGATCATATGTGTCCATTTCGAAACATATCTCTTTAAGGTTTTAGTTGATTCTAATTTTTACAGACTGGAGCGTCAAATGTCTTACCTTCGTACAACCAGTCCGGCACACCGTTAGATAGTATTCCAGGCACTGCGGTATTAGTTACGCGATAACCAATGTTACTCATAGGGCTCGTCCTGTAATAAATATCGTAGTCCTGCACCATGACGATCCCGTTTCCACGTGGAGTCCATTGCGCCAGCAGAAGATACGGGTGAACGTCCTTTTCAGGATAAGGAGTTAACGCTATGCATTCCCTATCAAGGAAGAGTCCTTAGAGAGATTTAGTTTAATTAACTGTAATGTAATCACAATGTTTTTTTCAGAGACAGAGAGAAACCGGGAAAGAAAGAGAGAGAGAGAGAGAGAGAGAGAGAGAGAGAGAGAGAGAGAGAGAGAGAGAAAGAAGTGAAAATTCGCATCTTGTTTCTGATATTCAAATGAGAACAAGCCGAACTTGCAATATTTTAATGAACTTAATTAAATTGTTTCAAGAATAGGATAACTTCGGCATACACATCACCTCTAAAAAGAACTTAATTTATCAAGCATTATTTATTATGTTTAAAGCAAATGAGCTATGCAAATAAAAACTGTATATTGTCTACTGTTTTTAAAAAATATTGAAAATGCGAAAAATTTACTTTTTATATCATTGCTTCGGAAGGAAACTACTTTGAAGGCGACATTGTTTATACCACTCCGGACTCTCTCTCTTTCTCGTGATACAGTCTGAGGTCGGATACTTTTAGGATAGACCTCGTAAATTTCTATTTCATATAAAATCATTTATGAAAGATAAAATTCACATGAAATGAATATTAGAAAATTAATGTAATGTTTCTTGCTTGTAAGGTATATAATCTGGAGAGTATCTGACAATTAAAACATTACGTGAATAGGTAAAGCAGATTATACTAGACATGAAAATCTATCACTTTCAAATTTTATAACAATTATTAAGGAATTAATTAGTAGGCGGAAAGTGGTAGGAACATAGTGTAATATGTGTGACGTGTGAACAAATATTAACTCTGAGTCCTAGAATATCCTTAAAGCATATATTTAAAAAAAAATTGTCTTAATGTAAATATTGTACTAAAAATATAGTAAAATTTTATCGAAATGACGTTCTTTTCCAATTGATCTCATTTCATTATTATTTTAGCAATATTTTAGTAAAAATTCAGTTTTCAGTTCTGTTTTAAATTCTGTAAACTTCATGATATCTAATATCTCAAAAAATTTGTTAATATTTCTCAATGGTTTAATTTAATTTTCTTTACATTCAATAAAATATTACAATAAATTTTATAAGGGCAATTATGATTCATTATAAAATATGTTCAGTAATTGTTTAATAACTTTCATTTCACTTTTCTTCAATTTCATAATACTTTCAGCAAAATATTTCCATCAGAGTTCGTTTGATCTCTCTACGTCGTTTGATAGAATGCTTTTTGCTTTTTTGGAACTTATTGGTAATAATTTATATATTTGATAAAAATAAATCAACTGAATTATAATTAATTTTCTATGTTCTTACGCTAGTTTTTTTTTGTAATATTTTCCTACTAAAACTAAATTAAACTTTGGAAAAAAACATTATTTACATCTATTTGACAGCTTTCTATTCAAGTAATTAAATTTCCAAAATAAGAAACTCGAAGATTGAAAAGATATGAATGAATAATAACAAATATTTGTTCATACATGCTAATCACACTTACCGTGTATTGACATCGTAGATGACGTACTGCGCTAAATACGAATAGCGAAACAGCTTCTTCACGTTTTGAGCAAGAAGTAAGTACTTCTTATCCGGCGACAGAGAGAACTTTGCTGGATTCAATCGTCTCTGTAATAAACAGAAGAAGAAAGAGCCGATGTTGTTTATTTATTTCCTAATATGCGCAACGCATAGAAGTATCAAGGCGAATAAAACATATATCTTTAGAAACATATCTATAAGATGTTTGAATATATTTATATAATGTTAAATAGTTCACACACACACACACACACACACATACCACAGGAGGAGACTGAAATCCCTACGTGACGCGTCTCCAAGTGGCGAATTGGGGAATGTCCACTAGAGATAGAGTAGGAGGGAAATAAAATACCTCCCGCGGACCAAACAAAATAGGGGAAGAAGAAACCCCGAACAATAAACCACTTATGGAGAGTATCTTTAAATAGAATCCAATTATAGTGCAGGTACTCGAAACTCCAGTACCGGCATTTGGCACGAGTGAGCAAGCAGGCTCTCAGGCGTCGATAACCAGCGACTGCAATACCTTAGGGGTGGACCATTTGGCTCTGCATAATGCTACAAGTGATGAATCAAATATGAAAGTACAAGTATTTGATAGGCTTAAAACGAAGATAGCTGAACTAGCCGCATTCATTAGGGGCAAGAATAACGTGTACGGTTACATCAGTAGGCTTTAAAACAGTTCGTATGCACAAGTGTGGAGACTGTAGAACGACATGATACAGAAGTTCAGAAATAGGCAAAATCAATTGATTGCCGCGATGATCGCCAAGGATAATTTCTACAAACAAGACAGGTCCTGCGCCGATTCCGATTTCTAGATATTTATATGATGTGGATGTTAAAAAATGTACGTTCTGAAAGTTGAATTACAAGGCTGTGAAAAAATAAAACTAAAACATATAATTTTTCAGAAAATGTTTATAAAAATCATGAAAATGTAGTGAAAATTATGACTTACGTGTCTTTATCATGGTATATCTTACAAAATTCTACCGTTAGTTTATCGCTTCAAGGGAAAGCCTACGGTGAGTCAGCTTTATCGAAAACACGAATATACGAATAGTACAAAGCATTCAAAGAAGGCCGAAAAGTGATGGAAGAGCTGCCTCGTTTCGGTCGACCGTCAACGTCTTCAACTGACGAAAATATTGACATAGTGATGGAAAGTCGTCATTCAAGCTTAAGAAAGATAGCTCAGAACAGCCTCACTATCCATTGCATCGTTTTCCTTAACGTCGAACAGCTTTTACACAAAAAATCAAATGTGTGTCATATCAAATGTTCCGTCTTTTGTATTATTATAATATGAAACTGTTTCCGATTTTAGTCTCTTGACCAGTTTTTCCTGCACCAATATGGAAACTAGAAACGAAAGTTACAACTTTATTTCTTTATATGTTTAAGAAAGTAACATTGTGTCATTCGCATATAGGTATCGCGCATTACCCATAGCAACAATTCGACGAAAACAATCGAAATTTGACGTTTATTTTTCGGTATAGTATCAACCAGTGTTAGGAAAAATTCATGTTTCAATATATTAATAACTTCAATAGAAATGAATCAGTTGTCGCAGATAATATTTCTGTCGATTCCATGATGCGAGTGTGGACAGTTCGCGCACATGAAAGATTGGGACACTTTCCAATCTTATGATTGGAATCCTCCCTGTGTACGGAATCGCATTCAATAGTTAAAAAATGGAATCATTCATACGCAAGATTTTTATACCGTATCTGTCAAGTTTACTTTTAATATAAACTTTTGTAAAAAAATTGCATTTGAAGCGTATAAACTGCTCATCAATGGTGCAATTCTGCGAAAGGTGTAGTATTTTTTGCAATTTTGTATGAATATGTCACAAACTTCTCGAATAGCTGTCATCCTGTTGGTAATTTGTCCCTCTCGTTGTTTTGTCGTCAAAACATGTGCACGAGCCCAGAAACATGAACTTGTTGAGTCATAACTAGTAACTAGTTATGAGTCATAACAAATGACAACTCTATACATTGTGCAGCCATTTACTTTTCACATATTTCTCGTATCTTTATATCCATCTTTTTATTATTCCGCAAAAAATAACAGGTTGATAAGTGCTTTTCATTCTATCTAATTTGTCTCACAATGATAAATGTGACTTGATAAGTAATAAGCTGACCAATCTCCGGTTGATTTCTTCATTAATATGCTTTACTGTAACTTCAAGCAATTCATCCGAAAACAGCAAACTCCACGTCCGTACATCTCTCTCGCTCCTTTTTTGACTCTAGGCAAATGTGTTGAAATGAACTTTTTCTGCTTCAACTCACAAGCCTTCGTCAACTATTTATATTTGTCTTTCCCGTAACAATACTGTCTTGGATGACCTGCGCTAGTAGATGGTACTGAATGGTCGTTCTTCTGGGACGTTGTCGATCACCGGATTATAGTTGTCATCATCGTCTAGTCCATTCTCCTCGCTCACGACTTCGTTCTCCGACAGCGATAATCTTCTTCGCTATTTGCATCTTCTCCAAGAAACTTAACGTTCTCTGTCTCACGCATCATGCAATTTGACATCTGTATCCTGTTCGCTAAATTCATTTTATCTAAACGAAACATTAATTTATTTCAAACAAACAACTTTTTAATAAATAAAACATTTATTTATTTTTAAATATATAAAAATAGGCATTATGACATTAATTTAGCATGAAAATATAATATATTTACAATATAATACGATATACTTACATACGAAAATATGATATACTTACAATGATTTTGACAAAATTTCCACTTTGCACGTTCAGTACCCTTTCACCACAAACATAAACGTTTCGAGTCCAACGCAAAAATTAACTCATTGCTGCTCAGAGGGAAATTGATGGTCTGAATCGCTCTACTTACACAGGTGTCCTCTACCACAAATTCCTTTTAGGGGAGAATAAGAACTGAAGGACCTCTTGAACTTTCGAGAAACTTTCATAGATAGAAATCGATTTTGTGTGTGTGTGTGCGTGTGCGCGCGCGCGCGCGCGTGTGTGTATGTGTGTGTGAAAGGGTTAATTTTCTGCCATAAATGTATTTGTTGATTTATCTATTATCTATTTCGGATTAAGAACATCTTTACCCGAGTAGATACGTCTTCGAATCGAATATCCAATTTCTTAGAACAATAACTTTATTACAGCTGGAAATTAACATGCTTACATTAAAAACTCATTTTTTCCAATAAAAAAATATTTGGTTGAGATAAATATACAAATTTTTTAATGTAATATATAATTGATGTAAAAAATTTCTCATTAAATTTAACGAATTTTTTTTATTTTAAAATGGTATATTGTTTATTTATAAAAATGTTTCGTTTTAAAAAAAAAATATATTCAAAACTAAAGGATTTTTTTTATTAAAAAAAATATTTTCTTATTTAAAAACTTCAACTTTTTAATTAAATATTTCAATATTTGAAATAAATAAATATTTTTTTGAGGTAAATTAAAGATATTTTTTTCCTTAAAGAAATGTATGCTTTGTTCCTATAAAATAATAATATATTTCAAATNCAAAAAGAATTATTTTATGTCAAATAAAATTTCTTTGAAATTAATATATTTTCTTCAGTGTGTAATTTAAAAGAATTATTTGATTTTTCAAATCATTTTGCATATAATTGAATATTATTTCTACTCAATAATGATTAAAATTCTATTTTTAAAGTGTATTCACTAAATTTTTAAATATTAATTGAATATTAAATAAATATTCCGTTCCAGGAATTAAATAACTTTTAGTTGATGATAATTTTTAAACAGTAGAAGTAAGATATTGATAAAGTAAAATAACAGAAAATTACTTTTTATTTATTCGTAATTAAATACTCTTCCCATGATATAGTTTTATTTCAATCTATTAATAAATAATAATTTTCACTCGTACATATGACCTAGGGTCATGGTGGTGTTAAATTTTTGATTAATTAATATTTTATTACGTTATTCTATCACATCCCATACATTTTTGTGTAATAAAGTCGTTACGAGATTGTGTGCAAAAATATATGCTTGTGCACCATTACGACCCAGCGAGAACGGATACGGATACTTACGAATGTTTCATTCGGCATTAGACTGCGAGACACGATATTCATGTCCGTGGCATCCAACAAAGAAATACCACCCCAAGGATCACGGTAGCATATATGGTAGTTACGCGCCCACGATCCGTTGAATAATAAAGGAGATAGCTCGCCGGATAACACCTGAGAAACATAAACATATTTTCGATTATTTTATGAATTTCGGAAGTCGCTTTATTCAGGAGAAGAGCGATTTGCCGTCGTACCAATCTTAAAATTTAGAATACGTTATACCTTTGAAAGTTGAAAGTTACCAAAATTAACAAACAATAAACAAAGAACATTAATTCAACATTCTGAAATGTTAATTTTATATGTCTCTTAAACGGTTTTCAATATATTGAATTTTCAATATATTGAGTCTAAATATATTGAGTTGGCAAGTAATTCCATGTGGTTTTTACCAATAGATAGCTTTAAGCTAGCTACATCTTCAATTCAAATCTTGGGAGCGTATAAGCATTGACAAGTGACATTTTAACGAGTATTAAAAAAAAACAATATGAAGATTGATTGTATTTTGTGTGTTTGTAGTCAGTATTTGCACTGGTTCTAAAACTGAAATTTTCGAAGTGAATTGGATAAAAAATTTGAATTTATATAGGAAAAGGTATGTTTTACAATTATGGTGAATGCATGGCTACTTTATAAAAAAGTAATGACCCCAAAAAGGAAAACATATAGAAATAATAAATCAATCAAAATGTAGAGTTAAAATAGCAAAGTGTCTGTGTAATGTCGAGATCAAAGGCACACTAAACGTGGAAGACCAAATTCTTCCTTAGAACGAAATATACAATCCAAAAGGCACAAAGGCAACATATGCCTCCAAAAGATGTACGAACTGATCAGATTGCACACCGGCCAGTGTTCGCAGAGAAAAGAACTAGATACATGTTTCCATGTTGTAATGGATTTACAGATATAATATGCGAAAAATGTGGTATTATTGTTTTAACAAAAAAATAATTGTTTTAAAATGTTTCACCAGTAACTGTAAAAATGTCTTTTGTGCACAATGTTGCATTTTTGCAAATACGAAAAATTTTGAAAATAAAGATAATTTTTTTTTACTTAGATTTTTTTTAATATTTTTCTCATTTTCTGGGACTACCTATGAACCTAAAAAAAATAATTCAGTAATAAAAAAAATTCATGCATTTAAGGGTTAATATACGTATTTTCGATGTTGAACTTGGATTGTGCATTATCTCTAATGCAATATAGAAAAAATTTTTATTTCGGTTAGTAGCTATCCTATAAAATTTAATATTACTATCCTTTACAAATAAGTATTACTGACTGTGTTAAATTAGCCAATATAAATTACTGATACTTAATAGTAGTTTTATTCCTCCCCGAATAATTAAACTACATAGTATTAATAATTTCACGGCAAATAACACTTTTTATAATAATATTGACAAGTCTTCTACAAAGTTCGTAAGCGCAAAGTTTGCACGCAAGAATTGTTATCTGAGTACTCACCTCGGACAGATGTAATCGTGCTCCTCGTACTCTCGGGCCGTCATCGGGGGGTGTGAGCAGGGCGACAGATGTGACGATAAGAGCTAGGACCGCAACGATCACGAGCAACGCTATCAGAATCCCGCGCCAGTTCCTTTGATTTGGGTTGGCTGAAACTAGCTCCTATCACAAAGGTCCTTACTAACGCTTATGTCAGATAACCGGATCATTATGCCGCGAGCGAATGTCATATCGTCCCGCCTCATATGGTAGTGCAGCGTGAAGACACATTCACACAAAAGAAAAAAATATCGCGCCGACGTGACCGACGTGATTAAAAATATGAGCGCGAATTTCCGCGCATCCGACTACGTCAGAATATTAATAAAATTTATTTAAAGTAAGACATTTTCACCGCAACCATATCGGGAAGAATTCTTGACAATTCAACATTGCAACCGGACTGCATCGTATGTCCAGCAAGAGAACGAGAGACTTTCGGACTAATTGTCGACTTTAGTCGATGGGTAAAACCGGAATTTGGAAGTAATCAAATAGAACATAAAATCACAATGACATCAAAGTAATGAAAAATGGCTATAATAATTCACATTTTATTATAATTCGTCTACTTCCTTTTTAATTTGATGTGATTTTCTCGTGATTTTTTACGGAAGGATTCCGTTAGCGCACGGTGCAATAACACACATCTACTCACATCGGTCGGTGCCTAGAATCTTTCCGCTGAATTATCAATTAGAAAATTTTATATTAAATTAGCCAATCACCTATATGAGCTATCGGAACCCGCCCTTTTCTGCTCTAATCCATTACTTGCAACATCGTTACTTTTACAAGATATTTTTTTAGTAGCGATCTGGTAACAACGTTGCACTTATTTAATAGTAATGGTAACGGCAAATGTAACAGTTACATTTTTTTAATAACAATATCAAATACGAATCATTATTTATATTCTTACCTTATATATGTATATATATATATATATATATATATGCTCGAACTAGATATTACTATATATAACTATATATAACAATATATATATATATATACATTTATTCGAGATCAATTTATATTTAATTAAGAGAGATAAATATACTACTTTAATATACTACTTTAATATACTACTTAAATATACTACTTTTTAAATCAATTCTCATTAGTCTGCTTTAATTGAAAGAAGATTTATAAGAGTTTGAACGAAAAGTTGTCTAACTAGCCCCACCCAATGCAAAATAGCAGCGGATAACAATGACAGCCGCGATATGAACGTTAAATCATTGACGGAACGATCCGTCGCGAGGTTAAAAGAACGGAAGTCGCGTTCTGCATCACGGAACGTCTGTCTGTTTATAAATGCCTATGTTTGTGGCGTTTTTCTCGAAGTCGACGAGGAGGAGCAACGCACGAGGATCGAGCTCGATAAGTGGAAAATCGTCGGTGATCGCCGATATCGCGATAAGGAAAAAATGAGCTGCTGATTATAGGAGTTTCGTGGACGGTGAGAATAGCTAATAGTCGGCCGCCGTAGCTGAGAGATCGATAGAGACAGAAGCTGCTGCGCTGTGCGTCAGGCAACTCTCTTTAGAAGAGATAGAGAGAGAGAGAGGCGCGTTTCAATGTATGTCACAGTGCTTTTGACAATATGAGCTCGAAAATACATCTGAATCGGATGAATCTAGCGATTTGACATGCCCAGGTTGCGCAGAATGCGTGCTCTACATCCCGTTCTCATCGTGATTGACCGTGTAATGTCTCAGGTAGAACAAAAAGTCACTTCAAAATAATATCAAAATAACGAGAAAATGATCGAATCATGACCAAAAGGTGAGTTTCTATAGTCATTTCCTCATCATTTTGGCGTTATTATAATTTTCTGTTCTGGAGTGCAATATACCTACACCTAAATGACATATACAATGAACATCAATTAATAGTAACATATAACTTTTCACTCAAGAATGTAACTGTTATATGACATACGCGTCATATAGCATTTATATTGTTAAGTTGGAAATTATAACATCGATGTTATGTTAGTTGATGTTCATTTGGTGTGTGATAGTTTCGCGTTTTACTCGAAACGATATCGTAGGAAAGTCGAGATGACATGTTTATTTGTATCATTCGCGACATCGATATTTTTTGCACCTCCTCGTTGGACATTAATTCGTGTGGTGTGTCTAAAACTATCAGAGAAAAATTCGCACGATTGAGATCGCGGATTCGGAGACCCGAATAGATCAGAAAAAATCAAGATGACGTCAAAATGAAGACTAGACAATACATTATGTTACGAAACTTCGCTTTCCGACCATGATTTGATTATTTCCTCGTCATTATGGCATTATTTTAGCATTATCACAATTTTTTTAGTCAATCTGGAAATGATCTTGATGAACTTCATTCTATTATCGTGTAAAATGTATAGCACTCGCCTGATGAGACGCGACGAATGTAGATTATATTATTGTTAACGGTAATGATAACGATATTTCTCTTTGAGCGTAGATAATTGTTAATACCGATGTTCGCAGCGACCGCATAAACGTGATCAACGAATCCGTCATATGTTTTACATGAACTATTTGTGGAACGTGAACTTTTTGTTCAACCTACGTTGATCGTGTATTGACAATACTTGTTGCTGCGCAAACGCATTTATGATCCTCGATGGGCGTCCGAGAATTAATTAATGATATTCGCGGAGAAAACGCGGATATAAATAGAAAACGCGATTGCTCCTTAACAACCCAGATAATATAACGTATAAAATCGGCACATAAGATGTTTAAAAGATATCTTAAAGGCGTCTTTGAGACGTCTCTACTTACAGACGTCTTATGTTCCAATTTTAGACGTCATGTTGTCTGGGGAAGTGCAAATCATTATATCGCCCTTGTGTTATTTTCGTGGGGAAAATACTCTCTCCAGAAATTATATTTGAAAATAATGAGAGAGGAAAAGAAAGAGAGAGAAGGAGAATAGATATGGTAAGATTGCCTTTTCGAAGTTAACGATGGGACTTGAGAAAAAACATATAACAGTAGCTTGGATGGTTTAATTAATTACCTCGTCGTCGTAAATGTTGTCGTGATCTGCCATCGGTGGTGCAAATCGGACGTTCCGCGGCTTTCTCTCAACGCGAGCAGATGCGAAACGACGCGACTCTTTGCGTTTATTCCATTCCACGTTACGGGAAATCTCTGCGAATGCGACTCACCCGTTCGTCTATTACTTCAAACACACAATGAGAGACTTCGGTTTGTTCGGCACTACTTGCGTCGTACAAATGTTTGGTACTGAGCGAAAGATCATCCCTTGTAAGAGATGCTGCGGACGCAGAGTCTGCGCCGTCGACGGTGGAGACTGCGCTATACATAGCGAGTAAGAGGGAAAGAAAGAGAGGGGTGGAAAAAAGAGACAGAGTGATATGAAGAGACAGATATGTATATATATCAGGGCGAGAGGAGGTGCAGGATGGATATATGTGTATGCATTGTGCATCCCATCTTATATAGCACAAATATTCAAAAGATATTCTAGGAACGTCTCAGAGATATTAGAATATTTATCGAATGTTCCTAGGATGTCTATTGAATATTTCTGCCATAGATATATGAATTACATAGACCGAGCATAATTTGCTATTCTGGGCAAAGGATAATCTGATATTCGAGGTGAGAGCGGCACTTGTCTGACATCGGCTTATTTCGCTAAGACTAGGTAAAATTCGGTTCAAATTTACTTACAATATTGTGTAAGATGCGTTCTACTTAACGATCGCAACGATCGCGAGCATCATTCTATTCTTGTTTTTCTTGGATGTTAAACAAAGACAAACCAATGCTTACGATCGTTGCGAGCGTTAAATGGAACCTGCTCGTAGTAGGCTACGTATGTAAAAGTTTCTCAGAATACAATAAAAATGAGTTTTTCATTGTATTTAAATATAAAAATTGACACAGTGAAAAAATATGGAACAATTATAAGTGAAAAGTGCTATAAATCAGAAAATTGTATTTTATTTGTAAATAAAATATTATAAATGTAGATTATGTGAATTAAAAATTGTTAATACATTTGAAATAATTTAAAACTTTATGTATTTATCCATACAGCACATTTTATCCGAGGGATGTCCTGTGGACTCCATATAAATGTCCTTGGGACATAAACATGTTCTCAAAATATCTTTAGGTGTGCTAAATGGGTATATTATAAATATAATATATAATCTATATATAAGAATTATATAAGACATTTGATCAGTTTAATGTAAATAGGTTTATAAATGATATTACGGTACATTTCATAGAAAACAATATATTTTTCGAATTAAAAGAAGATATCAATGACCAAAACTTTTTTTGAAATTACTTATATCATTTGTTGTGTACTATCATATAATTATGAGGAAACAAGATTGACACATAACGTACAATATATAGAAATAAGCAAAAGACAAAAGTTTAATAAGTTAATATAGTTTAAGATTAAAAGATTAAAACATGGAAAATAGAAATGCACGATTCTGAATTGATTCGATTCTTCTCCTAAAAAATAATCTTGTTCGTGTTGTTTGTACGTTTCACATTTAGAACAAGACGGAAACTTATTCAGATGCTTAGAATGAGCAAGAGCGAGAGAATCAATTCAATTGTTTCTTTCAAGAGTCTGAATTTACGTCCGTCTCGTTTTAAAAGCAAAAAGTGTGAGAAATGCATACAAGATAAACAAGCCTTTTTTCCCAAGTTTTTTAGAGAAAGAATAAAATTAATTCAAAATCGTATATCTTTAGAAAAGGGATAGACAATATCATCGAATTGAATAAGGTAGAGGATGGTATTACATCTAGAGAAAATGTTAGGGACTCTAGAAATTCTCTTTCTGGTAACCAATTGGCACATCCGACAAACCTGCACGACGCATCCTCAATGAGCGAATATCGAAGTTTGAAAAAATATTGATGATTTTGCTTATCTCTAAGTGGGAGCGTTTCAATTGACTACGTTGCAATTGACCATCACCGACTACAGCCAGCTGTAATTTGGTGTTTTTCTAATGTTGGCCGAATGGTATAACCTGCGTGGTCAATAAAGACGTGGTCAATTGGATCCCACTTTTTTAGGCTGATTACATGCGTCGTACGATGAGTTTGTCGCAAATGCCGACTGGCTGTCGGATAGAGAATTTCTAGAATGTCTAGAAAAATGTCAAGGACACTAGAAATTCTCTATTCGATAGTCAATCAGCACATTCGACAATGCTCATCGTACGACGCATATATCAATTTTATGGCTTCTGTCCACAGGACGCTTGCCGCTTGGCGACAGTTCGCGCGGTAGTCAATCAGCATGCCGTTTTTCGGTAAGAACTAAAAGTTTATTGGCTACCTTGCGAACTCCGCCGCGCTACATGCGTAGCTGCTTCCTATGGGCAGAATCCATTATAGCGAATTCGACCCCTTGCACTAGTACGCATTGAGTGCACAGTAAGACTGATCCGTATATTAAGTTGCGTATTAATTATGCTATATATAGTCCATCTATATATTTAAAATCATTTTAAGTGTATTTCCATATATTGCAAAAATCATTTCATTGACTAAGAAGCATCTGCAGGTAAATTGGAAAAAAAATATTATAATTGAGAACGAATTATAAGTCCAGCTTAAGTTGCGTTCGAGAATCCACTAACTGTGTGCACACCACTAGACACTAGCTGTTCTGAAATATCCAGGTTTATATTCGGAAACATTATTATTTCATAAGCTTTCGTGACTTTAGTGACCAAATTCGCTATTACAGTACGCACTGAACGTTGTGCACAACTAGTGGAACGGCTCGAGGGACAATTTGGGCGTTGCGAGTATTTAATGTGTAGAATGTAGTGTGTAGAGTATTTAGTGGAACGCACCCATAGTTTACAATATTATAGTAATTAGCGGAACGCTGTCCGAGTTAGATCGAGTCAGCAAATCGAAAAGACCATAAAGCACTATAGGAGCGCCACACATTAATGAGTCTTCTGGAGCCATCTATAGAAGGAAGGAAAGAAGGAAGGAAGAAGGCACCCTCTGAACACTGAGATATCATCGGTAGTGAGAAGAATTTGTTTTATGATTATAATTCGAAGTATTTGCTTTGTTGAAACAAATTTTCTTAAAGAAGGAAACGAAAAAGAAGTAACTGTATTGAAAAACATGGAAGCGGAGCCGGAATTGGAAGATGGTGAAGTAGTCGACGACGAGGTCAGACATTGAAATATTTTCACCTGATAGGGATATAACCTATTTTAAATTTACAGTTTATACGGTTGACTCCCCAAGCAGAACAAATGTCTAAAAGATGTCTTGAAGACATCCAAAAGACGTTTTATTTTTTTTTATAGATATTTTTCAGATATCTTTAAGAGCAATAGGCAATTTCTTTGGTTGAACGTCATTTAAGAAGGATTATATGGATTAATTTCCTTATTTACTTTTTTTATCGTTATTTATTTATGTTTAATGTATATTACAACAAAGAACATATTTTAAATGTATATTACAACAACAAACACTTTTAAATGTATATTACACAAAGAACATATTGTAATGGTAAAATGCAACCTAGAAAATAATATGTACAATCATTTATATATACAATCTTCTTTACTTTTACTCTCTAAAATATTGATAAAAAATTGCAATATGCACATTATCCTAGAATAGAAATTACATGTTAAAAATATTAAATAAAACTATTTAATAATTTAATGTTACGAAAGTATATATATATATACAAGTTATATAGACATGAAAAAAGAAATTGTTATAAATTATCTTGGTTATAATACATTATACAAAAACTTAATTACAAGATTCTAAATTTCTTAAGTACTTATTAATCCATTATATTGTATATTATTTATCAAATGCATAGTTTATATCATTTGTTTCTTTTCTTTTAAAAATGATCTTCAAAAGTTTTTTGATTGGTTAAACTGTATTACTACATATTATATATATATTTAGTTATCTGTATTATTTTATATATTTATATATAATTTATATATATATATTCTTTGTTATATATACTTACATATATTTGGTAATTCCTCCTGTACTGAAATTATCATTATACGAATAAATCTATTTCCTTTTAATAATCACTTTATTTTTATGTTATACAGGCTTGTGATGTCTTTGGAACATACAAAATATTGCAAAGGCCTTATACAGCACCGATCACAGATATAGGTGCAAAGATGCGATGCAGTGATGAATCTGATATTTCCACAGATTCTGAAAGTGATTCTGACTCTGATTCGACACCTGTAAAAAGACCTAAAGTTAAAGTGAAAAGGCATAAAAGCTTAACAAAAGACTGGACAAATAAGAATGATAAATACAAAGTATGGTGTACACAAGTGCAGGAAGAATCTTTAACGGAAGATTTGTTGTCATGTGGTGTCACAAAAAAAATGTATCAAGAACGTAATGTCGAGAATTATAACTTTACTTTGCGATATGCACATAAGAATCAGGAACTTCATAATAATAACAGTTCAGATGATGAAAAGGATGTTGAACGAAGACTATCTAATAAAAGAACAAGTTCAGACAGATGCAATGTAAAACTTAGATTAGGGAAAAGGAAAAGTCCTACTCGAAAAAGTCCTACAGTTTTTGACAGTCAGAAGGATCCTGTTAGAATTATACCAGATTTATCTACCACTGTGGAATCAACAGATGTTGAAGTTGCTACTGATATAACAACCAAGCTTTGTGAGAAAAAAGAATCCCTCATAAGTAAGAGTTTTCAGTTAGAATTGTTTTCTTTCTCGTACTGTATTGTATTATCATTTTCTTCTTTCTGTTATTCATTATACTTCTTTATTCGAATCTTATTATATTCAGTTTTAATGATGGATTCTGATGGATTCCGATCATACGGTATTAAATCCACCACCCAGTCCTGTAACGAATCTTATATTACATTCAATTTTAATGACTCTTAGACAAACATTTGATTTTTAATTTGGATAACTTTAATTTCCAATATTTATTTATAGGAAGAGTTGTAGATATAGTTGGTAAAAAGAAGGCTATTCAGTTCTTCCAAGAGACAAGAAAAATCGAAGAAAATGGCGGAATGTTGATAATGAATGGGTCTCGCAGAAGGACCACTGGTGGAGTATATTTCTGGTTGGTGAAAAATGATAAACATATCCCTCAAGAAAAAATAAGAGAGATATTTGTATGTGACCAAAAAGAGAGTAATGGACAGAAGAAAAAGAACAACGAAGCAAGGAAACAAAATGCACAAGATCGTATGAGAAGTTTCGAAAGTAAGAGGCATATTTAATTGCGATATTTTTAGAACGTATTATTCACAAAATAAAAAGTTGATTCTCTTAAAGAAAAAATAATATGTAAATATATCCTTGAAACTATAGATGGATGCGATAAAGATTTACCAGCTTTATTAACAAGAGCAGAACTTTCAACGAGGGAAATTGCAGAGCAAGCAAGATTACGACGCGGTGAAGGCATGGATAGAATTCCGATGGATTCAGATCGTACGGTATCAAATCCACCACCCAGTCCTGTAACGGACGATCCAGATCATTCTGAACATACACTGATACATAGGCATGTTCAAGATTATACCGACGATTTTCTCGATATTGGAGTAGACATAGATAGCATGGAAGTACTTTAAGACTATATTCTAAATCTTATATTTGCACATTGCAACAGCAAATTGTACAAATAATTAAGTATAATCATACACATACAGGAGTGTACGCGGGTGCACATACATATATACAACACAAGTTGCATGAGTAATATATATACGTATATATAATTTACATAGATTGTACATTTACCATGTACATTTACCATTCATAGACAACAAAAGTAGACTGGCAATAGCGATAAAAAAGTTGTTTGTTTCTCGTGTGATTTTGTTTCGTTTATTCAACATATTTCAATTGAAGCCATTTATTTTTTGTACACTTGTGTTGTTGGATTTGATGTTTCTCTGAGTTTAATAAATAAATAGAATTGCTTCTGGCATAATTTTTGTATATGAAACGATTTATAATTCACGACAGAATTTACGGCGAAATTATAAAACATCTTTGAAAGATCAGAATTACATTTATATATAATAGGAATGTGTATGTATGAAAATTTATATATAATTTTTATGCATGGTGTATAAATTTGTAAATTTGTCTATATTATGTAGCATGTATAATTACAAATAGAATTTTATTACCAATTCTGTCGTGAGTTACGGGTCTTTTAAGAATTTTATATTAATAAACAATAAATGCGAAAGATTTGACGTAACCAATTTATAAAAGGATAACGTTAAAAGTTTTTAATATAGAAAAACATTATTTTATTAAAACGTGAATCAAACATCTGTGTTAAATAATTTTTACAAGATTTTCAGTATCGTTACGCGTAATCTATGTATATAATATTAATTGTAATAATATATGATATTGATTGTAAGCACAAATATGTGAAGATAAAATGCAATTTGTACGATGTATTGAACTAATGTTGTGTATAAACTGTTACCTGCTCTCATTACCGTGTTTTCAGAAATTGCAATGCAATGATTATCAAAGCACATTGCATATTGTATACAGGGTGTCCCATTTTAAATGACTTCAAATATCTGAACAATTTAAATGGATTTAAAGCATTTTAAATGGAAATATATCAAACGAAAGTTGTAGGATTATAAACTGTTTTGTGCACATGAGACATATAAGGTAGTGACTTTAACTTTGTTAATCAATAATTTAAAGGCATTTCAAGGCCAATTTTATTTTTTTTTAATAGAATCCCATTACAGAAATTTAATACTAAGAATTATTAGAAAATTTACAATAATTGAACATCGGCAGTATTTCAGTAATTATTGGCTAATTTTTAATTATTGGTTAATATGTTTCAAATTATATACATAAAAATATTGTATATGTTTTATGTTGATGTTAATAATAAAAGTAATAATAAAAGTAATATAAAAACAGAAAAAAAGAACAAAGATACAGACTCAGAGCCAATACTGAACCTGTGTCATCTCTAGTTAACAGGCAAACATTCTAGATCTTCTGCTACTGTGGAACATTTACTTGATGTGTATATTTACTAAAGTTTGTACTTCCACTGCTTTCTTAATATTTAATCACTGCAAATTCAGTAGTTCTCAGTATTAAATTTCTAAGGGTATATTTTATCACTCTTGCATTATTAAGGGGGTATTCTACTTTGTCGCGCTGCTTTCTAGGAGATTTTCAGGAATTTTTTGGGGAAAACTATTAAGAAAACGGGTAAGTATTTTTAAAAATTTCTTTTTGCCTTTTATTTGTTACGTTTTAAGGATTAATTAATTTATTTTAAACAAGAAATATGAATAATAATTAAGTTATCTTATATTTATTTTACTCCTGCATCGTGTGCACGATTCGTCGGCGTTCATGATTCCGGATCTCCCTGTGAACTAAAGTTAAAAAATCAAAAATGTTAAGGCGATGTTATCGAAAAGAATGAGGTATTAAATATCTTGTAATGAAAAATATTAAGATAAAAAATAAAATATCTCAAAAAAATATTCACTATTCGATGATCTTATTATATTACTTTTATACGCACAATTAATAAAGTTAATGAAATTAATGAAATTGTGTTAAAAAAACTATATTTCTTTAAAAAAAAAAATAAAGTTGACCTTGAATTATAGACTATATAACAAAGTTAAAGTCATTTATTTTATGTCCCCCTCGAAATTCTACAATTTTCGTCTGAAATATAATTTATAGCTACACTGCTGAATTTATAATTTGCGTTTATAATGCATTGTTCAAGAGATATTTGAGGTTGTCATTTAAAGTTGGGCACCCTTTATATACATATATTTTTTGTATGTTACATATGTAGAATACAATTTTGAAAAAAAGTATTAGTTTTAACAACTATACTGGTATTCATAATTTTGTAATAGAGAAATTTTTAATTACATTTTTTATTATTTTGCATTACAGAATCCTCTAATATCTAATACGACTCAAATTCGATCAACGTTACGGTAGATTAATATCAATATTAATTACAAGCTCGTTCTCCGTTGGCATGAATTGGCAACACGATATAAGAATAACAACCTAGATAGCACAATATCCAAAACTGAGACATAAGGCATCTTTTAGACGTTTTAAAAACATCTTAAAGATGTCTTATATCACATCTTAAAAATGACTTCACGTTTCTAAAAAACGTCTCATGTCCCGATTTTAGGAATTGCTGTCTGTGAAGCTAACGATTTAGACCAAAACAAAAGCATATCTAATCAGCGTAATAGACAATTAATCAAGATTTAACAAAGAAATTACAAAAATTTTAATTAAATTAGTAATTATCTTACATATATCATATAATGGAATACATAATTTTCTTCTAATGTATTATCCGAACCAATGATTAGCCATACATTCTCTGGTCCACTGCATTTGACATACCCAGCACCAATGATATCCACATCCTGCTCTCATACACACTATGTGCATACAACCACCTATAAATAAATGATTTGTATAAATATTAAGAAATGTTTGTAACTTAGTAGTCAACAAGACAAAATTGTAAATATTAAAACAGTATTTCAAATATTCTAAATATTCCGCCGTTATATGTTTTTTTATTAGCTACGTTTTCAGCGAACACAACAGTTGAGCGATCGATTTTGGAAGATGGATATGATTGGCACATCTAAAAGTATACACTAATTATATGATCTATTCTTTATAGCTACACTACTGAACTGGTGCAATAAGATGAAATAAGAAAATATATATTTGTCTTACTTCAACTTATTACATTAGTTCAGCAGTGTAGCTATAAAGAACAGACCAATAGATAATTTGTTATTCACCAGTTGTACAAGCATTGTTTTCGCTACTAATGGCTGTGTTCAGCAGAAAAAGCAGCTTAATAAGGTTGCATGCTCTGTGCACAATAGAAATATATTAGGGATAAATATTAAATATTAAGAATAAATATTAGGAATAGTGTGATTAAACATAATGCACAATGGAAAAGAATAAAATATAAGATATAAATATAAAAATCGTGTCATACAACTGTTCATTTCATTCTGTCGTGTGAAAATAATTTTTAATTCCTATTCCTAATATTTAATATTTAATCTTATTCCTAATATATGTTCTATTGTGTGCAAGACCTAAGTGTTTTACATTTTACGTTACTCTGCCAGCAGTTTTGCAATTGTTTTCATTTTCTGTTAAACGACAGCAGTGTATATTTTTCCAATATGTCTACTGATCATCATTTCTCCCAGCATACTTTTAACACGCTGGATCGTTTAGTAAACATATTAGCTCGTATTCTGAACTCTTTTTTATCGAATTTTCTTTTATTATAAAAGTGCATCTAAAGTAACTTAGAAGCCATCTGATTGGCTAAAAAGTCATATTTAACTCTTAAATGCATGAATTTTTTTATTACTGAATTATTTTTTTTTTTTAGGTTCATAGGTAGTCCCAGAAAATGAGAAAAATATTAAAAAAAATCTAAGTAAAAAAATTCTCTTTATTTTTTAAATATGTTGCAAATTTGCAACACTATGCATCTAAGGGTTAAGGTACTTTTATCACAAGAGAGTTCAAAATGTATGCTATTGAAGAAGCATAAACTATTGAGTGTCAACATAAAATCTTACAACAACTTTGTTTGCACGGCAACGTTAATCTAATTTAGTAACTACCATAGTTAGCGAATTCTTGCATTTACTTGGAGTATTTTTTTAGTATGAAATATAGTTTGGAATATATTTTTAGATTTAAGAGGATCTATACTAATCAAATGCAAGATTTCACTAATCAGTCAAGCAAGAGTTCACTACGGTTATTATTAAAACCGGATTAACATTACCGTGTAAATATAGTCAACGAATTTTATCCAATAAAACGCAACGTTTCCAACAGCTGACGATGACATTGGTGAAAAGTTAATTTCTATCAACGTACCATCTCTTTCAGTAGGAGTTCTGCACATGGGGCAAGGTTTCGTGGATATCTGTATCGTCTTTCTACTAGCTTCGTCCCATTTAGCCTAAAATATATACTATAGATAAATTAAATTTGCTACAAACTTGTTTCATGAATATATTGATTCAACTAACATCTTTAGCTTTCATAGGATCCACTAGATAGTTTCGAAAAGAAACATCAGTAGATGCTTTCAATGGCTGTAATTCACATTTCCCTGTGTGATATCCTTGTAAACAAATTCTGCAGAAAACATACTGAAAAATATAAGAACGACAAGTGGAATAACGAGTTGATATAAACGAAAGATATGTATCCGTTGTTATAATTCACTATTATGATTACTAGTTGAAAGGATGTCACAAAGAGCTCCTTTCTTCCATGTTTGCTAATTACTCACACCACATCCACCGATACACTGAATCCTCCTGCGTTGGTCATCACTTTTCTCTGCTTGTTCTTCGATAGTGGGTGGTATAATGCCCATACCACAGTCCGGCATTGGACACAAAAGGCCACCGGCGCGTAAAACATATTCTTCCGCACCGAATCTTTGATACCTCTCGTACTGCAGTTAAAAAAATCTAAGGCTCTCAAGATATATAATTAGAGTGAAAACGACCAGCGAGAGACAACGGTGAACATTTGCGATAAAAAAAGAATATTAATTACAACTACAACATTATTTGTCAAACATAAATTCTGATCCTCTTCAGTGAACGAAACGTAAATTATTAACTGTGCTATTAACATAAAAAATAATTCAAATTGAATTGAATTATATATTCAAACTAAATTGAATTGTTTTTTCAAAAAAATATAAAAAATATAGTACAACACAAAAAAATTATTACTTAGGCTTACAAAAGCTAGAACTAATATTGTTTGGACAAATTTATTAATTATAATTTACAAAACAATAAAACATGTCGGTTTATTACAGACTTCCTCAGTTAAAAGTTGCAACAAAGAATCATGAAAAAATGTTTGCAAACCTGGAAAAATAGCAGGCGATTTAAATGAAGCCCATTTCCAAATGAATCACATAGGCCCTTATCCATCCAAGTTCATACATTCATATTATTAACAAAACTCTAATATAGCAGAAAAAATTTTTGTCTAAAATTGTCTAAAATTCGCTGGTTACGACGGAAAGAGATGTTATTAAAAAAAAGAAAAATAATTGTTTTAAATGTTTTAATACATTAGTGGCAATTTCTCTGATAATATTAAATCATCGTTTTTTTGTATCAATTACGCAGTTAATAATTTGCGTTTCGTTCAATGAAGTTTTTTTGTATCAATTACGCAGTTAATAATTTGCGTTTCGTTCAAACCAAAATCAAACTGAGGAAAATCTACAACTGAGACGTTTTGACAAATATTGTTGTAAATATAATTAATATTCGCTTTCCACCGCAAACGTTTACCTGCATTGACTTTTTTTAGTTTGGACTGTATATTTAAACAAATTGGAATCGGAAAAAAATTTTCACTTCAAATACGATATCTTGTAACATTACAGACCATTTCCGAGTTAAGAAGATGGAAATGATGAATTTCACGAATAAAAGAATTGGAACATCCAGCAGGGCACGGCAAGGTGTAATACCCTTCGACAGTGTCGAATTCAAACTGACGTTCTCGCAAACGAACCGTGCAATAATCACGAAAGCAGTCGAGACAAGTTACATGACTGGCTTCGCACGAAAATACCAACACTGTATCTCTAAGAATATATGAGAAAATATAATGATATTAACTTATTATTGAATCAGTTGTCTACTATATCACTATTATATTACTAAATACCTGATATCTGTGCATGCTAAACAAGGAATATTCTTTAGATTTGCCTTAATAAGATAAAGAGGTATGGCTTTGTCATCCTCTCCTAAGCTAGCATGTTTCGCACATTTGAAGTAGAAGTGAGCAAAGGTGACTTGAAATTCCTCTTCACTGAACATGATTGAAGATGCAGGACAGAAATCATTCTCACAATGTACAGTTATCCTATTTGGTTCTAATACATCAGGCCAGTATTGAGGGTCTCTATCGACAGTAACAGCACCGCTATTACATCTTGCACACTTGACTCTCAATTTACCTACTGTCACAGTCTTACAAGGCCCTGAGCAATATATGTAAAAATGTGCTCGATTTTCTTTCTGTTCTGTTGGATAATAATAACATAAAGGGACAAATCAGTTTTTTGTTTGTGTTATTTTTGTGTGTGAAATATTTACAAAATTAATGTTACTGTTACCTTCTAGAGATAAATTTTGCTGATCTGATGCATTAAAAGATAAATCTGTAAGAATTTCATTCATAGGTTTGCTACCACTGTCATTCCGGTCAGTAGTCTCAGATGTAGATTCCTCTATAGAATTTGAAGTATCTGGATTTTTAAACTTTTTATATGGAGTCCTTACTGCATGTAGAATACTCTGTTGACCTAAATCACATTCCTGCAATATCAAATATATCAATATTGTAACAGGTTTAGGTGCAAACATATTTTTACACAAATATATGAACTTACTTCAATAATAATTGAATTGTGCAGCTCTTTGCCAGCAAATATAATTTTAATATCCTCTGGTGCCATTCCCATTTTGGGTGCAACAATTTCCTTTAAGTTCTTTATATCCCATTTTGGATTCAATTCAACAGAGAGAGTATTCCCTGTATTTGTTTTGACATATATATTCAAATAATTTGATATCCTCCGCTGACCAAGACACAAATTTGCACCAAATGACAATAATTGCAACATTCCAAGGAACGCATTTCTCATTAAATTAAACCAAAAGCTCATGATGTGTTGCACAGTTTATTTAATTATCATATTATCTATTGCAAAAACAATGTTCGATCAGTCTCGCGAAAGTTTGTTGCGAAACTCAAATTGATAGATTATGACAATGGTTAAGTTAATGGTCATCGAGTTATACGGTGATTGAATGGACACTTACTGACATTGAAATATTTTCCTAGATATTGAAATACTCCTTCAGATGTAAAAATATATCTCAATCAGAAATAATAATCATGATTACACAAGTATTGTGATTTTTAAACACATCCAATGTTAGGTTATAAAGGTGTTTGTTCGATTCTGTTTCAGTTAAAAATATATATATCGTGATTGAAATATCATTTTTTTATTGTCTTTATATAATAAATTTGCTCCTTTTTTCAAATATCACACTTGACTTTATGCAAGAATCTTTTATTGCTGTGTTCGTCAATACTTTGTTTCATTTGATCAAACTATTTTTAAGCGAGCTCGGTTGCGTTCAAGAATCCCCCTTGTGTGTTGGCGTGTTTTCGTGATTTCGATTGGACAGTCGTGGTACTATGAGTGGCGCGTACATTAGTGTCGGTCCACAATAGGTACTTTAAGCCATAAGAAATTGACCAATCACAGTCAAATGTGAAGAGAATAATTAACTGTAATTAGTTCATTTCTTAAGTCTTAAAATACCAAACTAAACTCCGATAGATTCCGGATGCTGCGTAATTTTCGCAGAATCGTATCAGGGGAATATAACGAGCGAGGAGCTTGCATGATTCAACGCCTTAACCTTCTCGCTGGTCACGTTCTCCTAATACCAAACAAGCAAAAAATAAAAGTTTTCAAAAATGTTGTAAAACCGTTCTGAAAAAATTTGAGAGTATTTTTTGACTGATTTTAAGACATTTTTGTTCTTAGGAATTTTTCACCAAACTTAATAGTTTTTGAGAAAATAATTCGCAAATTTGAAACCAAAATTTTCCCTTTCGGACGCCATTTTGTGTCCGCCATTTTGAATTAAAACAAAAATCCAATGGGGTTTGAAAGAGCAGACATCTATAACACCGTTTATAGTGATTGCGATGGCGTGTGCAAATTTTTTCCAACTCAAAATAAACATTTAAGAAAATAAACCGCGAAAAATTTGTGAATTTTTCGGAAAAACGGCCTATAACTTTTCTGGCTTACGATTTGGGTAAAATTTCTCAACGGCATTCGAAAGAGGAGGTCAAAATCTATAAGAAATGATGTTTGATAAATTTTCATATGATTTTTTCGTTAAAAGATATAAGGTTGAAAGTTTAAAAAAAATTTGTGTTATATGGGAGGAAAAGGGTTAAATTGAATTTGGGCAATCAGTGCAAAGTTAACTGACTCAAGTTTAATGAAATTTCGTGAATTTTGCATTAATTGGTCAAATTTCAATTCAATCTCAATCTCCAATCCGTAATCTGATACATGCTTTATGCCGCATGGGGAGGCAGCCTCATATGTATAAAAAATATTTTGGTCAAATATTATTCAACAAATAAATAAGCTATAACATAAAATTAATATAAAATGAAAAAATTAGCAAATATAGATTCGTGACTTTTTATTCCCTTATTGCTAGTATAATTGTACAATCTTATAGTTTGTATATCTGTATATCTGGATACTTTTACATATGCTGTTTCTCTGTTCATCCAAATAGATACAGCATACAAAGGCATGATTACAGTAATCTTTTGGTTCCACTTTGCTTCGATTCGCTTTATCCCTAAAGATTACATTATGATTGTGACGGAACGAAAGCGCTTTTGAAGCGGAACGTGATACGACGCGACGAAAGAAGAGATTTCGCAGTGGCCGAAAAACTCGCGATTGGTCTCATCTCCTCCTCTCTCACGTCACAAACCATCACAATAAAGGCGTATTAATATATTTCCACATCACTGAAGTTTTATTTCGCAATTTTTCGAGTCTTTGTGTGATTAATTTCACCACTTTTTTTTATCTAGCACTGTTTTTAGACATTGCGTCTCACCGAAAGAGCGACATAACACGTTAACAAGCATTCGTCGCTAATTCGCTTCAGATTGACATTAAGCCATTTCTCTATAAACCAGCACAATATGGTCTTTTAATCCGGCCGATGACTTGGTCGACTTATTTTTGGGGAAGTTGCGAGCAACACAATACTAACTAATAATTCAGGTTTGCGGCATACAAAATTGAAATGTGTACTATACAAGCTTACACGTAGTATATTAGGTTTATCGCGCGCGTAATACTCATCCCTCGAGCATGTATTTAAATGATATTATCTTCTTCTTACGTATCGTAAAGCATTTATCGGTGTACGTAGATGTCGGTACATGTCTTACGTTTTCTCTCGCATCGAATCGCTCGCAGGACACACCGAGAGTATCGTTTATCTACTGAACGGATTCAAATTTCTATTGTAATGATCTTCATCATCATTGCCAGCCTTGTCGACGTCGTCCTTAAACGGATTGTTCGCGTCGTCGTCGTTGTCGTCGTCTTTGGCAAAGGGATTCTTAGACTCGTCGTAGTCGTCGGTCTCGAAGGGATTCGACGGCACGATGGAGTTCTTCGGCGGGATGAAGAACTTCTCGATCGGCGACGACCTTGGCGTGCTGCTGTTCAGAATACGGGCTTCCCTGATTGGTATCGGCGAGGCTTTCGCCGAACTGACCCGCGGTGTCGACAGGCCGCTACCCGTGCCCGAGATATTGGCCTCCAACGACGAGGAGTACGCGTCTGGTTTCGTGAAACTTCGTAAGCGCTCCTCCGCCATGTGAATTTCGTATGCGGCTTGTCGTGGATCCGTTTTGCCTGTCGAGACAACGCAGAACACGCGATTAATGCGCAACATCGTCTCGAGAGATACAGCATCGTACATCGTACGCACCTGACAGAGAACTCTTCCCTTCGCTCAACCTGAGCCTCGCTTCCGCGCCGTAATTAAACTTAGGTTCCTCCAATTTGGTCTGAGTAGTAGTTAATGATTTGTCCGTATCGGTGATCACCATTAATTTCTTGAACACGCCTCTGCCGAAGTAATCAGCTACCAAAGAGAACGGGTCCTCCGCTTGGTCGAGAAGACTGTGGAAAGAGTCGTGCAGGTCTTTCGATTGCTCCTGCGCCCTTATAATATCCAGCGACTTATTGTTGTTCGGCAGACACGCCGGACACTCGTTCTCATTCTCCGAAAAGCTTTGAAAGCAACTGTTGAGACAAAGAGACAGGTCGAAATCAGGTTGTGAACTGGCGACTAAGTTGACATGTGTAAGACAGAGTTAGATAAGTTAATGTTTTATTTTTAATCAAATTGAATTAAAAGTTGATGAACTTTAAAATTAACTTAATTAAGTTACTTAAGAAAAAACTAAGTTAATTAAAAGTTAGATTAAAATTAAATTAACTTGTTAAAGCTGAAAGTTAATTATGCAAAACTATGTATGTATATATGTGTGTGTTTGCATAAATAACCTTTCCGTCGTAAGTTAAATTTACGTGAAATAATGAAAAAAACTAGTCTGTGTGAGGAAATATCGACTGGCTTTTGTTTTTAGGATTCCATACAAAAATGAGCACTAGCGTTTAGAGAGACGATGAAAATTCCGTTGACCTTATTTTAATTTTTCTTATTTTCTATTGTAAGCAGCTCGAAATAATTTTAATATTAATGAAGTATTTTAACTCACATAAATAAAAATTAGAACAAGTTAAAGTTGAGCATTTTAAGTAACTAGTTTAAATTAAAAGTTAATACATTTAAAATTAACTAAGTCACATTAAAAGTTATTATCTTCTTAATTCCTTTTTTCCTGATTAACTAATTATCACCTGATATGATATATTAACAACGATATCGAGAGATATTATAGATAAGTGAGAACGTATGAAAGGGATGCAGCACAGGCAACTCACTGTTGATGATACGAGTGTTGACACATAAAATGCACAGACGGTAATTCCAGCTGATGATGGCACGCGCTGCATCGCGAACCTTGGAAGATTATCGTGCTGTTCTTTATTGCCTCTATGCGCTCACGCAGCTTCAGAGTATCGGCCCTGTACTTCTCCGTTAACTCCACGTCGGCCTGAGTCTGTTCGTGTTCCGCTCGTAATACACTGTACAAATACGTTCTAACGTCTCCCAATGTACAAGTCAATGATGTGGAGATCGCATCAATGACCATCAAAGGAGACAGCAGTCTTTCCTGAGCTGCAACAGTAATTCCGATGCATTTTCTCGGGCGTGATTAATGTTACAACGAATATTTACCGATATAAGCTAATATGTCCGCGAGAAGTTTCGTTGGCGCGTCCTTGTTCTTGGCGATGCTCCACAAGGCTTGTACCCACAGGTTAGGATCCTGGTGACCGAAACTTTTACACGTCGCTAGAATTTGTTCACCGTCTCCCTCCCGCAAGTGAAATCTCAATATCTCTTGATATCTAAGGAGAGAAAAGCGGACATGCACGTTTGAGATTCGAGCTTGACACGAAGTTTCATGACACAACAGTGGCTTACAATTTGCTCTCCTCGTAAAGGAACAGCAATCCTTTCCTGAAATTATGCTGATGACAGAGTATTAATATTTGATGTTTGTCGTAACGGGCTTCCGTATTCTGCAGAAGCCGGACGATTTTTTGTTCATATTGTATCTTAGCTACGTCGTTATCTAAAGCCGACCATACGTGCAAATAATGCTCTACTAATGTATTATAGACGAGTGTGCTCCATCTGAAAAGAAATGCAAAAAGCAAAGATATGAATTTCAAGATAAGAAACTAACGAATTCCTATATTATGCGTTTTCTCACGAAATATACCAACCTTGTGTCTGATTTGACTAAATGTTCTAAAAATTCTACGAGCCGTTCGGAATTATTTAGAAATAGGTGGATAAAATCTTCGGGATTGGCCTTGTCAACGCGCTGCTCTATATAGCCATCCAGAGCTTCCTACGGAGAGAAATGCATCGGCTTTATCCTTTCCTTATATACGGCAGCTTAATTACAATCATCAGAGGAATATGAATATGTTTACCTGATCTACAAGAGGTTTATTAGAAGGTTTATAATTCGTGCATAAGGCTTTCAAAAATAGAGTCGACTCATTTGGCACATTTTCAATTAAGACGTTACCGTACTTCTTCATATTAGCTTCTGCCTGGAAAATTGTACAAGCGCTATGTAAAGTAAATGTACGTCCATTTTTTAGAAAGAGAAAAATGTATAAACAGGCGTACACATAAAATATCACGATACCTCTTCGAATTCTAACGTTGCGATGTATTCGAGTGCCTTTCTGTATTCCCGTTTATCTTCGATTTGAATTCGTAGATACCACTCGTGCTTGCCATGCTTCTGCGCGAGCAATAAAGCATCCTCGGGCGAGGCTTGGCGGCACACTTTTATCGCTATTTCTACATCGAAATCGACTTCGCGATCTTTTGTCTAAGTAATGACATACAAAACATATGTGTGACAAATACACATCATATCGCTATTATTATTATTAGCAAACTTTTTGGGATTTGCATACACGACTTACCATGATAAATTCCTTCAATTTGTCAGTATGATTGAGTTTAGTGTAACAATTCAACAACAAGGTAGTATGATCCCCAGTCGCTTGCCCGTTTTTATGCAAAGCTTGCAGATACGTCGTTAAGTTATCGATATGCTGAGAATCCAAGAACTTTCTTATCACGTAAGACGGCTCTAATTTGCCTATAGTTTTTATGTACTGCTCTATCGCGGCGTTATGATCACCCTTGGAGTACAAATGATCGCCGTACTGTCGGAAGATGTCTATGAGGCCTTCAGCGTCGTATTGCTGACTTTTAGCTATTCTGCAACGACACGTGTCTTTTTGTTATCAAGAGTTGTCTCCAAGTTCTAATCGAACTCCCAACAAAGTCGTCCTTCCGCATTATACCTGATAGAAACATCGTATAAATTCTTCTTGAAAAGTAACGCTAATTTGGACTGCAAGTCCTTCTCGTCTAAATGATACAGCTTGTTATCTCCGCTGAGTATGAAAAATCCACCCCACTCGGATAGGACCGCCTGAACAGACAACATCGGCGCGGAGAACACGATGAATTTGTTTTGTATGTCGAGCACAGTAATTACGTGCTTGTCTACACCAGGTGGTATCGGCTCTATTGTGCTAAAAGCATTTAACGAGCATTATAACATAAATACTAAGGAGAGACAGACTACAAAGAGAAGTATGTGCATTTGTTACTTCGATTTGCCAGATATAGTCGTCGTCCTCGGGACATTCATCATTTCTTTCGCCACTATCACCAGGTACGTCCTGAACCATTCCAGCATTATCTTCTGACCCTCCACCGCATAGCACGGGCCCCGACCGTCCGGTGTGTAACAATAGATAGCCTGAAAATTGAACTGGCATTTCAAAATCGATTCGAAACGACAGAGAATCGAGCGTGAGTCACACGTCACGTACGTCATTGCGCCCGATCATAAAGTGACTGTCCTGTATCGATTCAGCGAGCACGCTGCATTTCCGCGCACAGCCCATAGTGTCCAAGGTGGATTTCAGTTCTTTATCCTTAACAGTAATATTGTATAAAAACACACTATTCTGCGTAGCGACGAACAGATGCGTCTGCTTGCCGGTCGATCTTATGGCGAGACCAGTGATAGACAGATTGGTATCTTTCAGGACCTTTATCTTATTTTTCCTCTCTCGAGTCAAGTCACCCCTAGAAAATGAAAATTTCAGGGTGAATGTAAGGGTATTGGAATTATATAGTATTGTAACGTGAAATGAAAAGACAAAGATGTATCGATGCAGAAGAACTTGTATATATTGCTAATATATTTAATTCATTAGGTTTTAGTGATTCTGCTTGAAATGGGATTAGAATATGGTGTGACTAAATGGCCATAGTTATGCAAGGATCTAACATCTGCAAAATTACGATTTTGGAGATTTTGTCATCAATGGGTCTGTATACATTTTTACATAAAATAAGAAAACCCAAGCTTTATAGGCGTTTAATATTAATTAAAAAACAATTTTTATTTTTTACCAGTTGCGTCATTTATTACTAATTGCACTTTTGCATATTTTCCTAAGGATTAAGCTTGTCAACAGATATCCTTAAAGAGAAGAAAATGGATCATGCTTGATTTTTTGTACGATTATGAAAAACTTTAATACTATTTATACTTCTTAAATCATGTATCACATTCTCATCTTCATTTTTCTCGAAATGTACTCCATGTGAGTTGAATCTTTCTTAACTAGGACCAAATAAAGGTTGGTATATTCTGTTTACCTATACAACATGATGGAACCATCTCCAAAGCCAACAGACATTAACATGAGACTAGTGTGGACACACAGAGCTGTTGCTGGAACTGCTCTGTAACTAGGTATGGCTCTGCTTATTCGAACACATGTCGGATTGCCATGTTTGTCAGGTTTGGCCAGATTCCAAACCTTTATGGTAGGATTGCAACCAGGCTCATCTTCCTATTGCATTGCACCAAGAAAGAAACAATCAAATCTGCTGCAACACTTAACTAGAGGGATATTCTGCGAAAAGATATCACAACAGTGGTCTTACACCAATAGTGAACAGGAAGGTGGAATGTTGAACTTGCTGGGCTAAAGTCAGCATGAGCTCGTAGGCTCGAAAAGTTGTCACCTCATACGCCCTGTTTACTAAATGTACGTTGCCCGTGTTATCACCGAATACCAGATTGCCATTGCCGCTGGTGGCTGCTGTGACTTGCGCATCCTGAGTGAAAGGTGTATCGATAAGATAACGAGGACATTTTTGTCTCCCATTAAACAAGAGAGCATGAACAAAAGGACAATGATCGAGGTGCTAAAGCACCGTCTTACTCCGAACACCTCGGCGATCTTTCCCTCGTCAACCTCCTTCTTCAGGTCGAAGAAATTAAAACGCCTCCACTGAAAGAACAGGTACGACAAGTTAGCGTGTCAGGTTATGCGCGAGTGAGGGACGCCCGTAAGGCAAGCGAGACCCACCTCCAGAAACGCCATGATAAGTAACACGGTATTTATTTAAACATTTACGGAGAAAATAGTATCCTAGGCAGTTTGTTTGACGCACGACGCGGTACAATTGATCCGATACACGCCCGCCATCTCTCTCTCTCTCAGAACTGCTCCCGTCAGCTGTTTGCGGTGACACATAAGGGGGTAGGCGCACGTGAAGTCGATCTTTAATACCGACTAAGCCAATAGCGACGGGCGAAACTGCCTCGCTGAGTTCTCTCTCTCTCTCGCGAAAGATGGCAGCACCATATCGGCCGAACGCGTTCGTTTCCGGCGGCGGCGGTTCGAGAAAGCAGTGCATTTCCGATAGCAGGTTTAGACGCGCGCGCGTAATATTCGGCGGTCATCTTTCGCTTCATTATTACGGAAAAAGCGACGGAAGATCGAAACGATGCAACGTTTCCGCAGGGGGAGAACTCCAAGTATGTCTGGAGCCAAGGAACGACACATGACGATCTCTCGCGGAGGAGGTATCGTTATCCTTTCATTCCTCTCCATGACTTCGTAACGGTTTCATATCGAGTCGGCCATTTTGCTTAACGTTTTTTGGCGATTTTTCTGGAAATATTTCTGGACATCTCGGTGTCCCCGGAATACGTTTGAACAGTCGAAGCGATGCGAAATGTTTGTTTCGCCGTGAAACCGCCAAATCGATCGTATATGCAAAAGAGAAGGTGGTATTATAATACGCACGTAAGAGCTATAGCTCATGCAGGCTCTTGCAGGTTTCATACTCCCCCCTCTCTCCTCCCCCTTTCAATATCTTTGCTTTGTGGCGAATTCGAGCGATTACTTATGGAATATTACTTATATTTTATATTACAATAGAACTTATGTTCAGCAGCCCGACGTTACATAGTGACGCTAATATGCCAATAAACAATAGCCGTCATTTGTTACAACGCATTTTTACTTTCGAGCATTTCGAAACGTTTTCAAAGTACATTTTAATCGAAATTAATCAATATCATGCGTATGATCGTGAGCAATTTAATCGATTAATAATATTAATCGTTGATCAGTGTGAAATTAATTGAAACAAAGTAATTTATTAACACTTAATCGTTAGACGATTAAGTATTTAATCAACTGAAAAGACAAAAATTTTAATCGACCAATGCTCAAAACTATTTATATCTACCTTTTGACGAGCAAGTTAGTATCTACATTGCAGATTCTATTCATTGTATTTCCTTCTAAAGGTTAATTTTGTCTAAATTTGTAACAAAACATCATGTTTCCTAAATGAAAAAATGTTTTCAATCGATTTTAGTCGGAACCCCATTACCCCGTTCCTTTTCGACTCATTATGCCGTGTTCATATTTTAATGAATAACATTCCAAATACGAAATATTTCCTAACTTTCGGTCTAGAGTCGATCGAACAACACACTTTGACGAATGTAACCGTCCAGTCTTCAATATTAAATATTGATTGTTGGCAAGGTTGTTCTACAGAATGTAAATGGGAGAGACCGTAATACCACCTTTTCCTCGGCGGGGCCCCCCCTCGACGGAAAGAAATTTCCGATGTTTCATCACGCACCGCGCGCGCACGATCCCGACCAACAGTCGCGATTAAAAAGTCCCCCACGACGATGCGATGCCTCTCTTTCCACTTGCTCGTTGCGCGACCTTTTTTTTCGTCGCGTGTGAGCTTAAGTTAGCCACGCATTAAGTCCTTGGGGCTATAGATAATCGGTGGCCACTGCGAGGCAAAACTTCGTAACGATACTCTCCGGCGTTACGTCTACGAGCGAGGTAAAGCGATCCGATCGATAGCCCGATTCCCGGATCGTTCGTGACGCTCGATTAAACCGGGTGGGCACAGGGTTACAAAAGACCGCGACGAAACGGCACGCCAGTGCAATGCTGGTGCGACGACAATCCTTCGGTTATGCCTCTCCTCCCCCTCTTTCAACACCTCCTCTCGCAAAGGAGACATTCCACTGCAATGACATACCGCCTCGCGCGCTCTCGCAAAAAACGAGTCGTAAGACGTAAGTTCTGTTATATTTGTTAAAAAGGACGAACAATTAGTGTCGATGTTTTGGGGCGGGTGCTGCTTTACAGAGCTGTGCGTACGGGACGTAGACTCGAGAAATGGTCGCAAAATCTTTGAAAATCGGACGTCGTCGGTACGGCGAGAAACTCGAGATTACATCTAGACATTCTGGACAAACTCTGCGAGGGACGAGGGGACTGTCTTTCGTTCTCTCTCTCTCTCTCTCTCTACACCTTTCGTTTTTAAACCTTTAGCCACAGACGCTATATAAGGTTAACGAGAAATCGATAGATTTTCACAATAAAAGCGGGCAGTCTTGACTAATCGACGTCTCCAATTCGCCAGTTCAATTAATATAATTATTCCTTGTGCCGATTAACAACCGGAAAGTAATAAATCAGAACGCTGTGTCGTGACTACGCGTGATTCAGGTTCTGAGGTGACAAGGATATTGCCGTGGCTGAAGGATTAAAAGATCGCGCTAACAAGCGAGCGCACTCGCGACGCTTATACATTCGACACGAGAATCATCGAATCGCCGAGACTCGCCGGCGATTCGCACAGAGTCGAGCGGTCTCGATGATCTTCGACGATTCCTCGCGATCGACGGCCGTGCTACCGTCGGCCCGCAGCTTCGACGCGAGCTTAACGCCAAGTGCGAGGGACGCGTCGATTCGGAGTTCTTATTTTTCACATCGATCGTGCCCGTTGCATGACTCGGAATTAGGTGGCCGATGTTTGGAATTCCCCCCTTCCCCCTTCTTTCTCTTTCTCTCTCTTGCGTTTAAGGGCCATATCACACAGAAAAGCGTAAGCAATAAAACACAAGCAAATTGACTGAACACAGCCGATTATTTTTCGGCTATAAGAAGAACAATCTACTGCGATTGATCAATTTTCTTACTGCTTTAAGGACCGTCCACAATTGCCGTAACGTATGCAGTAAGATGTAAGTAGTAAGCTAATTGATCATCCCCCTTCCTGCCCACAATCTTGTTCCAAGACGTAAGCGGTAAGCAAATTGACTATCCTTCCAATAAACGTTCGTGATTGGTCAATTTGATTACTACTTACGTCTTAAAGCAAGAGGTAATATAAATCCTTACAGTCCAAGAATAATCGACTGTAGTTGGTCAATTAATATAACTCACTGCTTACGACTTACTACATACTTTACCTGCTATTGTAGACGGTCATTAAGCCTTACGTTTTTCTGCGCGCCATGGTCCAAACAGCTACGTCGCGAGATATTTCTCGTGCTTCAACCGAGCGCGGACGGCTCTCTTCTCCGCAGTTTCGCGCAAAGAGAGTTCCCTCTGATTTTCGAGTTCTTGAAATAGAACAGCGCGACGAATCCGCACGTCGCGATACCACGACGGATCGGAAATCACGCGGGCGATCGGAACATTTCGCCAGGAACATTCGGCCGCATCGATCGTATGTACGATTAATTAACCACGTCGGAATCGGAACGGCCGTTGTTATCCTTCCGTGCGATATGGATGTAAATAGATACGAAAGTACATCATATGTTTAGGATATAGGACACCGAAGTGGTTTGACGTCACGCGCACGTTGCCAAATCCGTTTCGCTTCGGAAACGAATAATGCAATCGCGATTTCGACCCCCCCCCCCCGCGTTCTGCTTTTCTTTTCTATTAAATTTGCAAAATGTTTTCAAATTATACGTAAGATTATTTTCCTATTTTGTTGAGACTTTCGTAATAAAAAAAGAAGCAACGAGACTAACATCTCCCTTCCTTCGTATAAGCGGATAAACGAATAAACGGGTTCAAAGTTAGTAAATGGATATACATTTTCAAAAGCATGATTACTTTATACGTATTTGTAAATGTACACACTAAATCTACGTTTAAACGTGTAACATTAAACTCTAGTTTTCATAGCTACTACAGCGACGGTATCCACACTGGAAAAAGAGTTTGGTAACAATAACCAAACATTTAGTGAAATAGCTTCGACTAATTAATTTGATCACACTAACCAAATAATTTAGTCACACGTACCATAGTTACTGTGACCAAATCATTTAGTTGGAACTATTTCGCTAAATATTTGACAATTGTTATTAACTCTTTTTTTTTCAGTGCAGATTTATTACAGGGACTCTAAACTCCACGAGCTCGCGGCGCATCTTTCAGCCGCTTGTCGAATCGACGATTCGTGCGAAAGGAAAAAGAAACGAAAGAACATCGAACTCTCCCGATTAATCTTTCTCGTAGAAAACTTCGGGGTAACGTGGCTCGTTCCAATTTCGAGATACGCGGATCGACGTTCGAAGGACTCGACGCGGGAGCGGTCCGAATGTGACGTACGAATCTCGGCCGCGCTGCCGAGCGGAGCTCCATCGCGCAGTCGTTTGTACATACGTACTCGCGTCAAAAAGAACTCTAGAGACACGTGGGGCACCTACGTGATACGGAAACGAACGCGGGACGGTCCCGTCCTCGTCCCTTTGAGTTTCGGCCGGCGAGATTTCAGTGGCTCTTTCTCTCTCTCTCCCTCTCTTTCTCCTTTTCCTAATTTTTTGTCGCGGATCTCGCGGCGACGCGCTCGCTTAACTCTTCGTCGGGCTGCGATTCAGCTGCGGCCGACGACCGCACTTTCGAGTGAGAATTCCGTTCGTTCGCTCTTGGGCGTTCGCTAGGTTCGCCTAAATAAATTTCTTTCTTGCCTTTCTTCTCTTTCTCTCCTTTTTTTTTTTGTTTTGGTTTCGTCGAGTCACACAGGTGATTTCTCCCCCCCCCCCTCTCTCTCTTTCTCTCTCTCTCTCTATTTATCTATCTATCTCCTCATAATTGTGACCGCCGCTCAAAGAGTTAAACGGTGTTCGCGAAACTCGCGCGCTCGTGTGCAGTATACTTTTTAGTCCGCTATATTCTAGTACGATAGACGTGTAACTGGCTGCGACGCGTTGCGGAAAGAATCATACCCTTATGTCTATTTCTTTTTTTTTTTCTTTATCTTCAATCATGGTCTGTCGTATATGGAACGTCGTCGAGAGTCCCCCGGCGATGGTCTCTCGAGAACTCGAGAACATTTCCAGCCACACTTCCCGCGTTCCCGGGCATTCCGCAGCACAAGCGTCGTGTTTTAAGCACAGAGAGATCGCGGCACGGAGAAAAGATAGACCAGGCGATCGAAATGAAAATCGACGATCACGCCCTTTCGCGATCTGACA